GTATCCAGCACCTAGCAGGCTCTGGGTGAGCATCTAGCACCTAGTAGGCTCTTGGGTGAGCATCTGCACCTAGTAGGCTCTTGGGTGAGCATCTAGCACCTAGCAGGCTCTGGGTGAGCATCCAGCATGTAGCAGGCTCTGGGTGAGCATCTAGCACCTATCAGGCTCTTGGGTGAGCATCTAGCATCTAGCAGGCTCTTGGGTGAGCATCTAGCATCTAGCAGGCTCTTGGGTGAGCATCTAGCATCTAGAGGCTCTTGGGTGAGCATCCAGCACCTACCAGGCTCTGGGTGAGCATCCAGCACCTACCAGGCTCTGGGTGAGCATCTAGCACCTAGCAGGCTCTGGGTGAACATCCAGCACCTACCAGGCTCTGGGTGAGCATCTAGCATCTAGCAGGCTCTGGGTGAGCATCCAGCACCTAGCAGGCTCTGGGTGAGCATCCAGCACCTAGTAGGCTCTGGGTGAGCATCTAGCATCTCGCAGGCTCTGGGTGAACATCCAGCACCTACCAGGCTCTGGGTGAGCATCCAGCATGTAGCAGGCTCTGGGTGAGCATCTAGCATCTAGCAGGCTCTGGGTGAGCATCCAGCACCTAGCAGGCTCTGGGTGAGCATCCAGCACCTAGCAGGCTCTTGGGTGAGCATCTAGCACCTATCAGGCTCTTGGGTGAGCATCTGCACCTAGCAGGCTCTGGGTGAGCATCCAGCACCTAGCAGGCTCTGGGTGAGCATCCAGCACCTAGCAGGCTCTGGGTGAGCATCCAGCACCTAGCAGGCTCTGGGTGAGCATCCAGCACCTAGCAGGCTCTGGGTGAGCATCCAGCACCTAGCAGGCTCTGGGTGACTCAGACGGGCACTCCCAGCAGCAGGGCCCTAGTCCAAGTTCTAGTATCAATACAATTAATCACTCAACACTTAACGGGGCAGCTGCTATAAGTGATGTGTCCCCAAGCGTTTCAGCACCTGTCTCATTCTTTGTCGTTATCCCTCCTGCCAAGAACACGGTTACCATCAGTTGGCTCAAAGCACCCTGGGCTCCTCCAGCTACTGGCGCATTCCACGGCCTCCTGTGCCCCTTCCTCTTGGGGTATCCCGTCTGCTGCCGTCTAACACTTTCTTCCTTTTCCCCGTCACCAGCCTTGGGGCTACTCCCACTTCTGTTTGTGGGGTTCCCTTCACAGGCTTCAAGGTGACTGATCAATCTCCCTGAAGACAAATTTCTCTTCTGGGCAAAGTCATTGCAATGCCTTCCCCCTTTTCTCCGGAGCCTCTTCCCCAGGATTTCCACCCTACCCGATGCGCTTCCTCAACCCCCTCCAGCGTCCCACGTTCTCTTTAAGCAAACCTGAGCTGGCGAGCAACGCTGTGGCTTCTGGGATAAAGGACCCTGCAGTGTGGGTGCGGAGCATTATCATAGCTCGTTGTTGGCGTCAACATTGGGGAGCCCCCAGTGAGATGGGAAAAGGGAGTGAAGGGGGAGCGACCAGGCAGATGTTTCAACAGTAGTTCTAGCTCATTAAGAAGTCTATGCAGGTCCTTATTTCTGGAAGGGTTTTGTCCCCATTTCTCATTCGAATAGGAGCCCCTAACTCTCCTCCGGAACAGACCATGCCTGTGAGGAAGCAGAGGCCTCCATCCCTTGGTCCTCCCTCCGTTGGTCCTCCCTCCCTTGGTCCTCCCTCCCTTGGTCCTCCGTCCCTTGGTCCTCCCTCCCTTGGTCCTCCGTCCCTTGGTCCTCCTTCCCTTGGTCCTCCCCCCCTTGGTCCTCCGTCCTTGGTCCTCCTTCCCTTGGTCCTCCCCCCCTTGGTCCTCCCTCCCTTGGTCCTCCCTCCCTTGGTCCTCCGTCCCTTGGTCCTCCGTCCCTTGGTCCTCCCTCCCATGGTCCTCCCTCCCTTGGTCCTCCCTCCCTTGGTCCTCCCTCCCTTGGTCCTCCCCCCCTTGGTCCTCCCTCCCTTGGTCCTCCTTCCCTTGGTCCTCCCTCCCATGGTCCTCCATCCCTTGGTCCTCCTTCCCTTGGTCCTCCGTCCCTTGGTCCTCCTTCCCTTGGTCCTCCCTCCCTTGGTCCTCCCTCCCTTGGTCCTCCCTCCCTTGGTCCTCCGTCCCTTGGTCCTCCTTCCCTTGGTCCTCCCTCCCTTGGTCCTCCGTCCCTTGGTCCTCCCTTCCTTGGTCCTCCCCCCCTTGGTCCTCCGTCCCTTGGTTCTCCGTCCCTTGGTCCTCCCTCCCTTGGTCCTCCCCCCCTTGGTCCTCCGTCCCTTGGTCTTCCGTCCCTTGGTCCTCCCTCCCTTGGTCCTCCCTCCCTTGGTCCTCCTTCCCTTGGTCCTCCGTCCCTTGGTCCTCCCCCCCTTGGTCCTCCGTCCCTTGGTCCTCCTTCCCTTGGTCCTCCCTTCCTTGGTCCTCCCCCCCTTGGTCCTCCGTCCCTTGGTCCTCCGTCCCTTGGTCCTCCCCCCCTTGGTCCTCCGTCCCTTGGTCCTCCCTCCCTTGGTCCTCCCTCCCTTGGTCCTCCTTCCCTTGGTCCTCCCCCCCTTGGTCCTCCTTCCCTTGGTCCTCCCTCCCTTGGTCCTCCGTCCCTTGGTCCTCCGTCCCTTGGTCCTCCCCCCCTTGGTCCTCCGTCCCTTGGTCCTCCCTCCCTTGGTCCTCCCTCCCTTGGTCCTCCCTTCCTTGGTCCTCCCTCCCTTGGTCCTCCTTCCCTTGGTCCTCCCCCCCTTGGTCCTCCTTCCCTTGGTCCTCCCTCCCTTGGTCCTCCGTCCCTTGGTCCTCCGTCCCTTGGTCCTCCTTCCCTTGGTCCTCCGTCCCTTGGTCCTCCTTCCCTTGGTCCTCCCTCCCTTGGTCCTCCTTCCCTTGGTCCTCCCTCCCTTGGTCCTCTGTCCCTTGGTCCTCCGTCCCTTGGTCCTCCCCCCCTTGGTCCTCCGTCCCTTGGTCTTCCCTCCCTTGGTCCTCCCCCCCTTGGTCCTCCGTCCCTTGGTCCTCCCTCCCTTGGTCCTCTGTCCCTTGGTCCTCCCTCCCTTGGTCCTCCTTCAAAGCTCAGCAACTGAGCCAATCCTGCAAGTCTTTTGGGGTGCTATTGGGCCTCCTGGGGCCTCTGCAGTTGGAGTAACACAGCTGTGCTATGGCCACATCATTCCCAGACAGCAGGAGTGGAGGGGTGTCCCAAGCTGCCTCCATGTCCGGGATTCCCCCTGGCTCACCATCCTCGTCTGGCTCTGCCATGCCCAGCCTGGCCTGTGCGTTTCAGACCCTATCTATTCCCTGTCTTCCCTTCCTGGGCACTTCTGATTTCCTCAGACCCTATTTCCACTTCCTGTCCCCTTCCCTACAGAAGGTGGGAGATCACAGCTCTCTCCAGAGACACCTAAGAGAGCTCCGTGGCCCGGAGAGATGGGACAGGCAGCTGTGGGCGGGCACGGAGGGGACGAGCAGCCGCGGGTGGGCATGGAGGGGACGGGGCAGCCGAGGGCGGGCACGGAGGGGACGGGCAGCCGCGGGCGGGCACGGAGGGGACGGGGCAACAGTGGGCGGGAGGGCACGGAGGGGACGGGGCAGCCACGGACGGGAGGGCACGGAGGGGACGTGGCAGCCGCGGGAGGGCACAGAGGGGACGGGCAGCCGCGGGCGGGCACGGAGGGGATGGGGCAGCCGCGGGCAGGAGGGCACGGAGGGGACGGGCAGCCGCGGGCGGGAGGGCACGGAGGGGACGGGCAGCAGTGGGTGGGCACGGAGGGGACGGGCAGCCGTGGGCGGGCACGGAGGGGACGGGCAGCCGTGGGCGGGAGGGCACGGAGGGGACGGGCAGCCGCGGGTGGGCATGGAGGGGATGGGCAGCCGTGGGCGGGCACGGAGGGACGGGCAGCAGTGGTCGGGCACGGAGGGGACGGGCAGCCGCGGGCGGGCATGGAGGGGATGGGGCAGCAGGACTCCTGTGAGCCAGCGGCATGGAGAGCCACCCATGCTCAGCGCCTTACACCCCTACCAATTCCACCCTCTGCACAACCTCAGGAGCTACATACTCCTGCCCTCTCTGCTTTAGTGGGTTCTAGTACTACCCCCTCTTTAAAATACGTTTTTATTGATTTCAGAGAGAGGAAGGGGGAGGGGGAGAGAGAGAGAAACAGCACTGAAAGAGAAACATCGATCAGCTGCCTCCTGCCTGCCCCCCACTGAGATCAGGTCCACAACCCGGCATGTGCCCTGACTGGGAATCGAACCGGTGACCTCTTGGTGCCTGGGACGATGCTCACCACTGAGCCACACTGGCCAGGCTGGTACTATCCCCATTTTGTTTCCAGATAAAGAAGCTCAAACTTGGAGAGATTAAGACTCAGATTAACCCGAACTGCCCAGCTGGTGAGGAGCAGATTCAGGCTCTACACCAGGTCTGCCTCGTTCCAGACCCCGTGCTCCTCCATGCCGAGCTCTGCCATCTCCTAGGGCGACGGTTTCTGTCAGGAGAGGGGGTCTGACCTTGATGGGGGGGTCCCCACATTCCCTGGACAAACGCCTTTACCACCAGGTGCCCCTGGCCGCACCTTCTACCGCTCGGGTCACGTGCCCATTTGAGCTTCAACCAGTGGGCAGAGGTGGGCTTGGGAATCCGGAGGGACTCTGTGCGGGTCCCACTCCTTCGGGCCCCACCGCCCCCCACCGGCCCCCGCAGGAAGGGCACGCTCTGTGCTGGGAGGATTGATGGGGAGAAGGCCTTCATGCTGGGGCCAGGCCGGCTGCTGCTGGCAGGGCCGGAGGACCCCACAGCTCAGGGCCCTGGCCCAGGAGCTCACTCGTCTTTAGCTGGTGTGGCTCAGGTGTGTCTGAGCTGCTGGCCCCCAAATCCAGATGCCCTGGTGTGGCGGTTCAGAGGACCTCTGGGGTGACAGGCGCAGGTGGGACAGCTGGCTGGGCCCTGGCAGTGGGCGACCCCGGAGAGGGGACTTTCCACCGACCCCTCTGCTGGGCAGGAGCGAGCGGCTGCCCGGAGCCGAGGGAAAGGCGCTGAGGCCGGCTTACCAGGGTCTTGTAGTCAATCTGCTGGCGGATGAGCTTGTCCTCACTCAGGGAGTAGCGGGCCTCCCCCGTGATGGCGTCGATGGGCCCTTTCTCCATCTGCTGCTTGATGGCGCAGAACAGCGAGAACAGGGGCTCCCCGGCACACTCCTGGGCAAGGAGAACCCCGTGCTGGGGGCCCGGGGCCGCAGGGGGCGGAGCCCGGCCTCCCACGGACCCGCTTCTCCACGGGGCTGCCTCTCCGCCCTTTCAAGTCTCCCCGCTCCCCCTGCTTACTCCTGGGTCTCCAACTTCCTCCGTCAGAGGGACGCCTCTCTGGGCTCCTTTGTTCTTTCTTTTTTTAAAAAATTTTAATGATGTATTTTATTTAACCCAACACATCCCAAGAATTATCATGTTGACATGTAATCGATGTACAAAACTATTAGAGACATTTTACATTCTTTTTTCTTTTTGGGACGAGTCTTTGAAATCCAGTGTGTATTTTATACGCACAGCCCTTTGACCTCATTGTCCTGTCCCGTCTGCCGGTCCATCCCCGTCCCATGGCTCTCTTCCCCTCCCTGCCTCTCCCCGCTCTGCTCCTCTCCCCATCCCCTCCACCCCACTTTCTCCGCAGCCCCATCTTGAGACCGAGGCCAGCTCAGCGGTGTGAGCTCCCCAGCAAACAAGTCAATGCCTGGGTGTCGGGGCTCCTCCGAATCCCAAGCACGAGGTCGGCTGAGCCGCCGCCGGCAGCTGCTGTACCTGCTGGGCCCCTGCACGGCCTCAGTACGTCTGGGGCAGGGAGAGGCAGCAGGAGAGGGAAGTGGATGCAGGAAATAAGGGGCGAATTGTGCTTATCGTAAGGGCTCATGCGGGGTCCTCTCAAAGGCTCATCTCTACTCTCCCGGGGGAAACGCCTGCAGGGACCTGTCTCTCAGGCTAGGGCTGCATCCCGCTTCTGTCTCCTGACATGGTCGGGAGCCTGGCCCCTCAGCGACAAGGGGGAGCTGTGCTTCTGGGTGCGGTTCTGACGCCAGGCCCTGGGGAGCTGGGACTTGGGGCCGGGAGGGACGGGTGGCGGAGGGTGCTGCTGGTGCCCAGGCCGTCAGGGCGATGCAGGCCAGGCCAGATAGCCCTCAGCCGACCGTACCTTGAGGAACTTGTAGAGCAGGAAGGTGAACCAGTTGGTCAGCATCTTCTCGGCCACCGACTCAGTCCTGTCACCCGCCAGCAGAGGAGGACAAAGACAGAAGCAGCTGGTCAGACCCCAGGGACTGAGAAGGCAGGGGGAGAAGTCGGCACGGGTCTTGCTGCTTAAGGTTTTCGGGGAAAATCCTGAGATCTTAGAGACTCTTTGACTCCACAGACTCCTGGACACCCCACAGTGATAAAACAAGCTGTGCCTACGAGGCCAGGAGATGCTGTTCTGGGCGTCTGGCTGCAGGGTGGGTTCTGGTGGGAATGGGTTGGAGCGGTTCTGTGATGAAAACGCTCCCTCTTTGCTGTCCAATGTGGTAGCCACCAGCCATATGTGCCCACTGGGCACTTGAAATGCAGCCAGAGTATCTGAGGAGCTGAAATTTTCATTTTGTTTACCTTTAATTAATCTAGATTTTAAAAGTCACATGTGGCTCATAGCGATTCCATGGGGCCGTACAGCCTTAGCGAACTGTATAGTTACTTTGGGTGAGAAAAGCAAAGCAAAAAAACCTGGGATATACTAATTTGGCAGATGATAGAAAGGAAGGTGGCAAGAGCCGGGGGTCATGGCAAAAAGGTCAGATGACACTGACCCCACCCCCTGAGCTGAAGGCTCTCAGCCGACGGTAGCATGGAGCTGTATGCCTAGCTCATCCCAGGAGACGCCAGGTTGTCCTATTTCAAAGGCTTCCATATACTTTGGAACTCTTCTAGTGTTTCATTTGTAATAACAGAAAGTTCCTTCTTGAGTCTGACTTGCATCTTTCATGCTGCTACCCAAGTTTATATATTCTTTTACTTTGGAAGTGAAGACACAGCAGCAGTGTTACTGGCCAAAGGCCACTTTTGGTTACACTAAGTGTGTGGCCAGCTCCAGAGAGAAACCAGCCCATCTGGGCATGTTTACATAGAGTTGAAAGTTGCAGTTGCCTGAAGATACTAACAGCTAAAATCCCAAGGCATCTGGGCAGTTGCCAGCACACAGTGAAAGTGAGAAGGAAAGAACGAAGGCCAGCCCGGCCGTGCGGCTCCGTGGACTGAGCGTCGCCCCATGGACTGAGAGGTCCTGGTTCCATTCCCGGTCAGGGCACGTGCCCAGGTTTCGGGCTCGATCCCCAGTAGGGGGCGTGCAGGAGGCAGCCGATCGATGTTTCTCTCTCACATCGATGTTTCTCTCTCTCTCTAATAAGTCAATAAAAATATACTTTAAAAAAGAATAAGGACTGTTGAAAGGAGTGGGCAGCCAAGGGCACGAAGGAAAAGAGATGCAGGCAGGCGGAGGGAGAGGGCGCCTGGCGAGGGTGAGTAGAAATGAGCAGGAGACGCGGGAGGCAGGGCGAGGCCGTGCCCGGGAACGGCCGCGGGAGCTCTGGCAGGCTTGGCCACCCTAGAACATGCTGGTGGGCAGCGGTGGAATGGACGTAAAACAAACATCAAAATGATGCGCCTGCTGTTCCCAAAGCCGTGTGCCTGCCCCTGGGTGGAGCAGCCTTTGCGGCCGCGCAGGCGAATGCCCACAGCATCCGAGAAAGCCCGGAGTCAACACTGAACCAAGTGGGAGGCCCGGCCTCAGACCCAACCCCGGGACGGCGGGCCGACGGCACATGAGGTCCATGCAGAGGGCCGGGCATGGAGTTTCAATTTTTACCTACAGGGGCCTAAAGACACCGGAATAACAGCCTCGAGGAGAAAGGCCTTCAGCACTAAGGGCACGTGGAGAGCCTCTGTTTCCTACAGGGCCGAGCCACGGGGTCTGGTTACGCCCTCACACGGGACCGCTTGGGTGCCAGGGTCCAGGGTGAGGCATGGTCGTGCCCATCGGTGGGGCGGTGCAGGCAGAGCCTAGCGCGGTGCCGGAAAGTTCTCGCCGCACGGCACCAGGCATGTTGCCATGGGAGGATTTTAGTTCCAGCCCAGGCTGGACCGCACTCAGACCGTCAGACGCGTTCTGACCACCGAGGCCCTCGCTGGGATGCAGATTCTGATCACCGCGCTGCCAAGGGACCCAGACGCTTGCTGGGCTCCCAATCAGCTCTCGGGTGATCTTAAATGGTATTTACTTTTAATTAATTTAGATGTAAATAGTCACGTGTGGCGTGTAGCGACCACCAGCAGACAGACAGCAGTGCGAGCGGCTCGGGGCTAACACTTCCCACGTTGAGATGGTGGGGTGGGGGTGGGGGTTCCCAGAGAGGCCTTGGGGTATCTCTCCTAATTCAAGTTCTGATTTAGACAAAGCCAGGGGATAGCACAGTGACCGCTTAAGATCCCACGAGAGAAGAATGCCAGTAAAAAGGGTCACCGTCAGGGGAGTGGAAGGGCAGAGAGAATGACGGAGAGCAGACGAGAAACAACAGGGTGAGCAGATGGGCCATGGCACCAACATGATGGACAGCTTCTTTTAAGAAGGCACGGGACACACGGGCCTCTGGGCAGGTCGTCCCTAACCTCGGGGTCTTGGCTGCTCCTCCCGGGAGCTCCGCCCTGGTTTCCCTGGAAGGCAGGCGGGCTGCCCGGTGGGCTGGGCAGGGGCTCTCTGCCCCTCTGACCGGCCCGCCCTGCCCGCGCCCACCTCACCTCCGGAGCAGCAGCTTGGGGTGATTCTTGCTCTCCAGGTTCTTGTCGATGAGGTCGGCCAGCAGCTGCTTCAGCACGTCGGTGGCGTACTCCAGCTTGCTCTGCAGCACCGTCATGATGAGCGAGGCCACGTTGCCGCGGTCGCGCATGGAGAAGCTGCGCTGCGACTCCAGGGTGCGGATGAAGGACAGCAGGAACACCTTGTTGTTGATGAGCTGGGCGAAGAGCTTCAGGCCCTTCTCCACTCGCTCCTGCCTGTAGCCCGGCACCTGCAGAGGACACCCGGGCGTCTGGCTGCCACCTGTGGGGCGAGGCTGGCGGGCCCCAGGGATGCCCCCACGGGTGGGCTGCGCACACTGCTGACCATCCACCCCACCCCTCACCCACTGCCGTCAGAGCCCAGCTGGCTAATGCCATCAAGCCTCATCTAGTGCCAGCTATCTATTTAGCCTCCATCACAGCCCACGAGCGGGTCACCGTCCCTCCTGTAGAGTTGAATCCAGGGAGGCACAGAGAGAACATCACTGTGAGCAATGGGTCTGGACCTACGTAGGCCCGCTCCACACCCCAGCTCTTCCCCGACAGTACTGAGTTCACAGGGGCCCCACACCACGGCCGACCACCATCACAGCCCTGGTGGGAACTCCAGGACACGCGGCCGCTGTGGGGTGCACTCGGGCTGACGGATCATCAGGCCTGAGCCTTTGCTACCCTAATGGCTGAGCTGTCTCCAGACCTGTGGGTCCTACTGACAGACCAGTGGCCTCACAGCCAGGACTTCGGGTTCCACATGGACTCTGACACCACCCCTGTGTAAGCTTGGGCACGTCCCTTACTCCTCCGGGGGCCAAGTTCATTCTCCTGTAAGAATGGAAAGATTAGGCCCCACAGTGTCTCAGGCATTCCCTAACTCCAGCATCTATAGGTAGCACCTGAGCCCCCGCTCCATCCTGGGGAAGGGGAGGAAGACGGTTTTATCGTCCTGCCTGCATCTTCTCTCATCGGGAGACCCATGCAAGGTGCAAGGATGTGCCGTCCACTCAGCAAACATGAGCCAGAGACAGACCCAGGCAGGGAGGAGGCATCTCTGGGATGCAGCAGGGGGTCACAGTGCATCGCATCTAATGGCCCAGGCTGGAAACCGCCAATGTCAGGCAGCAAGCGTGCGGCTCGAGGACCTGAGGTCTGTTCACCCCGTGGAATCCGACACAGCAGCAGGAATGAGCTGCCACTCACACTAGCAGGATGTCTCTTGCAGACATTGAGTGGAAACAGACCCCAACGAGGGCATACTGTACAACACCATTTAAACAAAGATTTAAAAAACAAACACAAGGAAATCAATCAGTGGTGGTAGGAAAATAGTTTTTCTGGGGGTACCGTGATGGGAACGGGGATGGGGGACTTCCGGAGGGCTGGTCACGTCTGCGTGTTGATCTGTGTGCTGGCTGGATGGCTTGTTCACACGGGGAACAGAGCTGTGTTCTGCTGTGAGCCTGTCTGTACGCAGACCTCCGTGAGAACAAACGTTAACGTGGACAGTAAGGCATGGCCTCTGCCCGGAGGGGCAGCCCTCTGAGGACGCGGAGCAGGGCAGCCCTTCGGGGGGGGGGTGCTGGGGTGCCATCGAGGCCACAGCTAGAGGGCCGTGTCTCCCCCATGGCTTAGACGCCCCAGGTCTTTGCGAAGGGGCGTCATGTATGTAGCATGAGAGTGCCACACAATTTCAGAGTCGCTCAAGCTCAGGTTCGCTCAGTCACAGACATTCACCAGTTGCGGGACCCTGAGGAGGCCCAGTTTCTTCATCAACAAAGTGGAGGTACCACAGCCAGTGAGTATCTCAGGCTCTCTCTGTGCTGAGCGTGCTTTTGCATGCTTTAGAAATGGGGACACCCTACGAGGTGAGGACCGTTTCCGCCCCCAGGCCCCATGAGGACGAGCGACTTCCCAGTTCCTGACAGACAGAAGTGTCAGAGCCGGGCCACGAACCCGGGCGCTTCCCGCCACCTCCCGGGGCTCCTGGGAGCACGCAGGCCCCGACGTGTGAAAAGCCTGCGGTGCGCAGCCCGACACGCGCCGAGCGACTGAACTGCCGCAATGTTGTCCTTTACTCTAGAGGTTTTAAGCTGGGGCAGACAGAACAGGCAGAGAGGCCCAGTCTGCAGAGGCGGAGCCAGAACCCGCATGGCCCTCGTCAGCCAGCCCCCTGGGTTCTGGGCACAGGGCAAGGTGCTGGCTGGAGGCAGAGACAGACCCCTGCCCTCTCCGTGGCCAGCGGAAGCCCTGCTCAGCGGCAGGAGCGCAAGGGGCCCACTCCTGCCTCCTGCGAGAGGCGCGCTCCTTGAACCCAGCTGGCCAGCATCAGCGGCTCCCACAGGCCGGGAGGCCGGGAGTTAACACCTTCCCCAGCCCAGGCCATTTCCATTTCCCTCGCCATGGTGCTGGCACTTGGCAGCCCCTGTCAGAAGGCAGTTCTCAGGAGAGACGGGAACGTGCCAGAGCCAGGGCGGGCGTGGGTGCTGCCCAGGGCCCCCTGCAGCTCGTCCTCGCCAACCCCTCGTTCCCCAACGCGTAGGCTTGCCTCCTGCCCGGCTCCCCCATTCCCACTCCGCGGGCGCTGACAAGGGAGACATGGCAGCCTCGCCTGCCATCAGCCCAGGCCTCTGTGTGCCCAGCTGTCTGTCTCTCACTGGTCCCCCCAGCTCTGTGACTGCTCCCCGCACCATGTCCACAGCCTGTCCACAGCCTGTCCACATAACAACACAGAGTGCCATTCGTAGGTGCCACCGTGCGCCACGTGCAGTGCTGGCACATGGAACGGCACGCACTGTTCCAAGTCAGCCTTCCGACGGCCCTGGGCTGAGTGTGTGCTCCTAAGAGCTGCTCAGAGAAGCTGTAGCTGTCCCAAGGCCAGCCAGCTGGTGACAGGTAATGCTGGGTTTCCGACCAAGTGTGTGTGTCTCCCAAGTCCCCTTCCACCCTCCCTGTGCTTGGCCATGTCTAGTCCTTCTCTGGGCTGGTCCTCCCTGCGGCCCCCAGTGCACGGCCCCCAGCAGCTCGAGCTGGCCGTGGAGGGCAGGGGGCACTGTGCAGGCCGGCACCGTGCGCCTGGAGAGGAGGAAGAGCTGACCAGACGGCAGTTTGGCATGAGGACATGCTCTGGACCCGCCGTGCTGCACGGGCCCCTGGGCAGCCAGCCTAGGACTCGGGCCTGCGGAGAAGGGGTTTGCAGCCTGGGGTTTGGACTCAGAGAGACTCCTGACTCACATGCAGGAAGCGCCTTCACCTCTGGGCTCCACTCTCTCGCCTGTAAAACGAGACCGTGAGCGCCTGTGTCATAATGTTTTATGGACATTAAATAAGATAATGTATGTAAAGTGCTTGGCGGGCGCGGGAGGCACTTAAACCGCGTTTTATGACCTGCCCTCCTTCTTCATCACTACTTTCCACAGATCCTCTGCCCGGGGCGCCCCGGCTGTCTGGTGCGCTGGCCCAGTCTCGGGGCGCGGGAGGTAGGGCTTCTCCCGTGTTACGTCAGAGGAGATGGTAGTGGGGTGTCTTGGTGAAGAGTGTCCAGGACAATTCCCCTTTGTCACATGCCACCCTGCCCCCTACGCAAACGTTATCCTGAAACAAGACTTTCTTTATTCACCAGATGGTTCGATAATTGAGTTGAAGCCTGTGAGTATAAAACTGGAGAGTAAATTTTAATTGTAACCCAATAGGGTCGCGAGTAGGAGGCAACGATAGGTTGAAAATGGGGTGTGTGGTTACTGTTTGCTTTCTGTGTTCAGAGGGTGGGTGTGTGATCAGCACGGGGCAGCCCTCCCCCAGATGCCCAGATTCCACGCAGATGGTCCCACAGGGCCTGGGGGCCTCCTGTCCAGCACAGCCCCAAGCAAAGCCACCCCCTCCCCACAGGCATCCTCCACTCCCGCCACCAGCAGGCCGGTACCCCAGCGGCTGGAAACCTGGCAGACACTGGTCTCCAGTAGTCCGTGGGAACGTTTCCACACTCAGCCGACGGGGAAGCCACGCTGTGTGCCGGTAGCAACGCGGGGCTGGACAGAGAGAAGAAAATGACGACCCAGCCAAGACCTCCGGGGCTCAGGTAGGACGCGGGGTCTCACATACCCTAGGCTGACGTCTGCCAGCGGGGAACGCGTGAGATTCATGGAAATGAAAACGTCGTATGTTCTGGGTGGATACCCAAAGATTGAACGCAGGGTCTCCAAAGAGACCCGTACACCATGTTCATAGCGCATTATTTCCAACAGCCGAAAGGGGGAAGCACCCCGAGTGCCCAGTGACAGAGCAGGGGATACACAAGATGTGGGTATTAAATGGACTATGATTCAGCCTCAAACAGGAAGGAAATTCTGTCACGTGCTACCAGCCAGGTGGACCTTGAAAACACTTTGCTACACAAGTGAACCGTCAGGATAGGACAAACACGGTGGGATTCCCCTGGTATGAGGTGCCCAGCGTAGTCACACCCACAGACGCAGAAGGTGGGTGGCAGCGGCCAGGAGCTGAGGAGGGGCTTGGGGAGGGGCTGTCCAACGGGCACAGAGTGTCAGTTTGGGAAGATGGAACGTTCTGGAGCGGATGGTGGTGACGCTGGCACAACAGTGTGGATGCACTTAGTGCCACTGATCTGCGCCCTTAAACATGGTTGAAATTTTATAGGACGTTTATTTTTTCATGGTGAAAAAGCAGAGCTGTGTGACCTGCTCATCGGAGCCCGTGCCCGACAGTTGCTATCGCGTGGGCTCCGACTCAGGGAGACCGGAAAGCTGGCTGCTAATTCCTTCCTGAGCAGAGCTGCGATCAGAAAGTCTCCCCTCTTGATAAAGGCAAGGAAAGTCAGGACATTCAGGCTCAAGGGGACACACGGAGGAGCTGAGGAGGAAGGCCACGAGGCCCGGCGTGATGGATACCGGGCCCGGCCTCTGCTCTGCTCTGCAGAAGTCAGGTAGCCATCCCCTGCGGTCAGTGCCTGCAAAAGCATGTGGCGCCTGAGCGGTGGGTCTGTTCTATTCCATGGACAGTATAAATCTGGGAACCAGTCTTATTTCCTGTTGCTACTTTGGCCACAATCTTCCACTCATCCTCATAAATACCCAGAGCTGCGGGGTCCAACGCCCTTGGAGCAGCGCAGGCGCCGAGCGCACGGCTCGCTGCTGGGGCAGGCTCTGCAGTGTTCCCATGGGCTAGCATCCTGCCCCACCCCGGAGTGCGGGGTGCCCTTAGTCTGGGTGCCTACTCCCAGGGCTACTCCCGAGGGCTCCTGGTGCTGAGCGAATGCACGCGGTTCAAGTACTTAACACCGGGCCGTCAGCAGTCAACTAGCGGTGATTATTCCCCATGATTGTTATTTTCCCCTGGTTTCCTCATATTTTTCACTTGTTTCTGTCTTTAGAATTCAGTCCAAATCCCTTTTGGAACAAAGGGTACTATGAATATATGCCTAAGCCGATCCAAGGCTAGACAGGGAGAAGGATGAGATGTTCAAAGGACGGCGCCCCTGCTGGTACGAAAGACAGGCAGGTTCTTGTCCTTCACCCTCCGCCCCCTCCCAGCGCCTTGCTTCTCTCTCTCAAATAGATGCACTGAGCACAGGTAAGCGGTGGAGTCACCATAGGGCGATTTCCTGAACAAGCGTCCGTGAGCTCCTAACCTTCGTTTGCCAGACTTCTCTTCTCTGAGAACATGTACACTTTTTCTGAGGAGAGAGTCTTGCATTCAGTTCTCAAGGAAAACGTGACCCCGTAAGTCCAGCCTCATCCCTGTCCTGCTCTGAGGTTTCCTGGTTTGTCCTCACCTCCTCCAGAGGGACTGGCTGGCACCGGCCACAGATTTCTTAGCAACTGGCAACCCCTCCCTGACCTCAGCTCTCCCATCGCTGGCTAAAGCAGCTGGACTGGAAGGTCCCCCACAACTTTCTGGGCTAACACCGTGATAGGGAAGGGCGTGGCCATGGGCGCGGCATCTCACCTCGAGGTCCCGGAGGACTGGATGGTCTTCAATGCCCGGGAACAGCACCCGCATGGTGTAGGTTCTGTAGTCCAGGAAGGGAATCCCGGCTCCGTCCAGGTCACTGGTCAACTCATGGATGTCCGTCTGCAGCTCGGCAAAGGCTGGCGCAAAGAAGAGCCCGTGAGATTCCGGGGTGGGGTGGGCCCAGGAGCTCCCCCAGTCGGACGGTTGGAACCCTCACCCAGGCCCCTAGGGCACATGAGCAGGAAGGCCTCCGACATGCAGGACAAAGAAAAAGGGATGTTTTGATTTAAGTGGCTAAGGTGAACAACACAGGCATGGAGAAAGCTGCAGCCCGAGGACGCTCGTGGGGGGCGGGCCCCCCCCAGATCCGTGCTGCTGCGGAGCACAGGGGCGCCTCCCGCCTGGAGGTGAAGGGCCTTGGTTTGCGAATGTGCATGGGGTGGGCGACCGCAGGGACTGGCGGGTAGGAGAGGAAAGGGGAGGTTCCAGTGATGAAGAGCCTAGTTCCGATTCTGTGTTTAGAGTGGGTTTCCCTTCCAGAGTAAGAACAATTTCTTCTGAAGTCCCGGTTCTGGGCCACGCAGGTCGCTGGAGCCATCAAACCACCCACTGGGCGCAGATGGAGGCTCTGCCACACTAATCTAGTCCTTCTGTATAAATACGCGGCCCGGTCTTTGTGCTTCCTTCCGCAGTGGATGTACTCAGTGGTGAATTATGAGCTGTGTGGGGGCACCGCTATCTGTGGAGGCAGCTCAGATCTCCAGATAGGGGCGCTGCGAGGCCCCCCTTTCCCGGGGAAAGGCCAGCACACGGGCTGAGGTTGTTACACAGCTGCCACCACACCCGTCCTAGGCACTGCCCACCTCTCGGGCTGCCCTCCACCGCTGGAGGGAGTCAGAGGTAACGTGCCCGGCCTTCCCTGCTCTGCCTTTCTCCTTGGCACGTGCGCGCGCGCACACACGCGCACACATACGTACACGCGCACACACACACCCAGAATTGATTAACACATGGTGACGAAGAACAGCCAGTGGACGTTAACTGAACAATATTTCTTTCTATTTATACAAACATAAGAATAGGGGAAAAATACTTTATGGACTCAAGAGACTCAGAAGCCCTGTGTGGCTCTGGAAAACCCTTGAAAAACACACCCCGTGTCCTGTGGGCCCTGGTGATCCCAGGAATACACACGGCCCCCCGGCCCAGCGAGCCTGAGGCCTGGGGTCTGAGGATGCTCATGCTGTGGTGGGACAGAGCAGCAGGGATGCCACTGGGACCACGAAGGGGCTCCTCTGCTGCTCTCTCCCTGCACCGGCCCCTCTGCGCTGCTCACACGGACACGGGGGTAAGTGACTCTGAAGCTGAGCCACCCCGATGATCCCAGAAAGACATGCAGCAGAGCGTGTGCACTCGTGTGTGCGAAAGCAGAGTGCAAGCACTGTCACCAAAAGCCCTGACGCCCGGTGAACACTCATGTATGTCCTGAGTGAGGAACACGAGTGTCTGTTTGTGGGACCACAGGGGATGCGTGCATGAGCCTGAATGTGTGTGCGTGAGTGCATGGGTGTGCGTGCGTGAGGGACTAAGTGTGTGCGTCAGTGGGTGAGTGTGTGTGTGTTACACCAGCAGGTCAGGCCTGTGACGGGCCCCGGCCAGGCCTCTTCTGCGTCTGTGTGTTGGTGACGTCCTGGGTCCCTGTCAGGTGTTTGGGAGTCACCTTCCTGGACCCACACTGCCCTGCAAACGCTCAGGAGCCAGCGCTGGGCGCCCTGGCGAGCACCTTCAGGCCAGTCCCACAGGCTGCCCACGCGTGGCTCTCCCGGAGCCTCCACGGATCGCGGCTGGCCTCCCCGTCTGACTGCTCACTCCTCCTCCAGAACATTCCGAGAGAAGCCGGCTCCACTCCCCTCGCCCTCCCCGCCCGAGCTCAGCTGGCTTGTTATCAGTCTGCAGCTTCCCTTCAAGTCACCGAGCGCCGCCAACATTCAAAGGCTCACGCCTGCCACACATAAAAGAGATTCTAATCACTACTCCTAATTAGAGGAAAGAGTACATTGCGGAGAAAAAAATTAAGCAGCGTAAATATAATAAAAGGCAGTAATTAACAGTCCCACAAGGCGGATGCTGCGTTGACAGCTCGAGGATGCGGAGAGGGGATGGAGTGGACCCACCTACCGCCAGAGAGCCCCAGGTAAAGGCCGGGTTCACTCCACGCAGAAACCCACTGCAGGGAGTAGCCCCGCCCGCCCAGGGGACGCACGGAATGATACCCTGGGGGAGACACGAGTCTGACTCCTTAATGTCCTTCTTGGATTTAGTGCGGCTGAGTTCACTTCACAGTGCGCTGGTAATTTTTTAAAATACAAGCTGTGAAACACTCTTCCTTCCAAATCTCCGATCAGCCCCACAGGCTCACCTTCCTTCTAAGGAAGAGAGCTGAGATCACCTGACTGTGTCAGGTCGAGACACCCCGCGGTCTCTCCGACACGCGAGCATCGGACCCACGGGGCAGGATTCTGGGCTGGAAACGGCTCTAGTGGGATTGGAAATGATCCCAGTTTGACTTGGGGAAAGAGGACAGAGGACACCTTGAGGAAGAGGGACAGGAAGCTTTAGCCTCATCTGGCCTTGCCCCCGGGTGGGGCTGGATAGGATATGGGATAGTCTGGGCACAGGCTCATCGACCAGAGCTCGAGTTCTGCAGGTGGATGCTCAGTGCCAGCACTGCCCACTGCTGCCCAGCCACTGCTGTGTGAGACACGTGCACACACACGCACACATATGCACACACGTGCGCGCACACACACGTGCACGCACGCACACACGCACCGCAGCCCGGCCACCGCTCAGTACCTTCCTTGCACTCCAGGGCCACGCGGGACTCCAGGTTGTCCATCTGCATCTGCAGCCGCTTCAGCGTGAGGTCGCTCTCGCGGGACTTGCGCTTGTAGGCGATGAGCACGGCCACGATGAAGATGATCAGGAGGCCGCCTGCCACGGCGATGCTGACGATGGCGGGCAGGCTGAGCGGGCTGTCGGAGGCGATGTGCACCATCCCCGGGGAGAACTCCATGCCGCCGACGCGGGCCTGGGGACACAGTGGGCGAGAAGGAGCTGGTGTGGGGACCGAGCATCCTAGGGAACAGCCCCAAGTCACCGAAGAACTGGTGACCGGGATGGGACAAGGGAAATGCCTCCAGGGAGCAGAGTCATCTTTGGTTGCAAGAGCAGATGAGAGGGCAGTCGGGGCTGAGGGAGGGGGTCTGGATGGCTCAGCACAGGCCGCGCCCACAGCGGGAAAGATCACATGCTCTCATTCAGGGGACTACAGGGTCTCCCCCATAAGGGCCCAGCACACAACCGGGGCCTAAACGTGTGACATGGTGACGTCATGACTAGCTCCCGCCACTCATCCCATTGTAAGGACAGACGACCGCGGCCCAGACGTGGCATCAGGGACCTCCCCAGGCCCGTCGTGTCCTTTCCTGGAGAGCCTCTTGCTCATGAGGAGCAGCATCGTTTGGCTCCGCATGGCCTCAGGGGGGTCCCAGCCAGTATGGAGGGAATGCAGGACCGAGAAAAGACGTGGGCAGGAAGCCAGGGAGGGAGCCAGGGGGGTAGGGTAGTTGGAGGGAAGTGGCAGCAGGCCAGGGTCCCCTCCCGGAAGCCCCGATGGCCCTGTCACACCCCGGTGTCCCCCGACCACCCAGGACAGACAGCGCCCCCAGCCTCACCATCACTTTGTGCCTGCCGATGAGGTTGGGCGACTCGCAGAGCAGCTGCACATCGGACACCGTCACGGCACACGGCTTCTCCCCAACCAGCACGGTGTAATTCAGCTTCACGTTGCCCCCGGCCACCGGTGGGATCAGGTTCTTGCCCTGGGTGGACAGGAAAGCCCAGTTCCCACCCGAGGGTCGGCCGCAGCTGCCAGCCGGCTGCCACGTCCTCCCACCAGGTGTTGCCAACCTATAGGTAGCTGGCGGAGAGCCCACCTTCCCTAGTAAGTCCACCCAAACCATGGTGCACACACCGCCACCCCTTCCTCAGTGGGAAACCAATCATCAGGACACTTTCCAGCTGATCCCAATGCAGCCTCAGCACCCTCGTCAACACGGAGCTGTCGCCAATCATCACCAGTTCATCCAAATTTCAAAGTTAAAACGAAAACTCGCTATCCACGCCGCAAGGAAACCCTTCATGGCGTTTTCAAAGAACTACACAGGGAGAGCAGGATGAACCTTTGACCCCAGGTCCTAGATGCAGGTGCCACGCATGGCTTGGCAGTCAGAGGGCCAGGTGAGTCTCCAGGCCTCCAGGCCTGTGATGTGCGTCCCAGCACAGACTCAGAGAGTTCACACACTCTGGGCTATAACCCAGTCTCTGCCGGGGACTCCAGTGGCGGAATCTGGCAGGAGCCAGAGGGTTCTGGCCTCTTTCTGTGACTTGAAAAACGCCTCCTCCACGCAGCGGCCTCCTTTCTTCCCCCTCCCAGCCAACAGCCTCAGTTTACCTTTAGGATGATGGGGGTGCCAGGCTTGAGCTCCAGGATCCCCGAGGGACCGAAGGCCTCAAACACGGGATTGGGGTAGTAGGTGAAATTGGTCTTGTTGAGGATCAGCAGGGACTGGACGTTGTCCAGGATGAAGCCGAACTCCTCGGGCCTCTCGGTCAGGTCGGACTGGTGGTCGGGCCCCAGCGCGAGGGCCGGAGCCTGGCAGGTCATCTCCGTCGAGTTCAGAACCTCGCAGAGCTGTAGGAGACAGACAGCGACGATGAAGCAGCACACACGCGGCCCGCCGCGCCCGCCGGTCAGCGGCGACGCTGTCACGAGGCATGGCGTTGACATGGGACAGTCATGCGTGTCGGAACTGCTCTGCGGCCAGGACCACCCAGCCGGGCACTCCAGGAACAGGCTCTGCAGCTGGCACTGAGCCCCGCTCTGCACGTGGTGGGAACGGCAGTACTAGGGTGCCTCTAAGCTAAGGAGCGGAACTGGGGGTCCGAAGCATGGAGGAAAATGCATATAAAATCCATACACACCCAAAGCAACCGGCCTTTCATGGCTGTATCACAGGCTGTGAAATGCCCTCATTCTGCTCAGGGGGTTCACACAAAATGGGTCATCAGCACCTGGGGGGTCTTTCTGACACGTGGGGAGCCCCGCACCCCTCGGGGAAGTGGCGTGCTGAGTGGGCAGCCCTCGTGACCCCTGCAGCCCTGGACTCACATTGATGTGCTCCTTCCCTCCGTGCTTGGCACGAATCTGGGGGTTCTGGATGAGGTTCAGGTTGGTCCCCCACACGGCGATGGGTGTGTTTCCACTGCCCGGGAAGAAAGAGGGAGGCGCGTAAGCAGGGGGTGGGCGGAGACCGGCTCTCCACCGCGACGAGGATCGGTCAGGCTCAGTCCACATCGAGGACAGCCACAGCCAGTAGGCTTGACAATGTTCACGGGGTGGCGACGACAAGCTGACTGCATAATAATGGGGAGTTCTCAGCAGCCAAGACAAGGACAGTGATGGCCAGATGTCCGTGGCCATCCTGGGCGGAGCTCCTCTGGAGCATGGACACCCTGTGGAGGCGGGTCTGCAGCTCGGCCCTCGCGGCGCCCCCAGGCCTCTGGACTCCAGCCAGCTGCTACTCTGCAGCCCCCTGAGGTCTCTTCCTCCAGCCCTCACCAGTTTTAGGAAAAATTCTCACTGCCCTTGGCCTAATGGACCGGACTGTCCGCCACCAGACCCTCGAGGGTCTGAGCACAGCCTCCCCCAGGCAACCACACCACAAATTCCCACTATAGAGGCTTCCGTCGCTTAGGCCGCAAGGCAGGGCCCCGACACTCAGGAACCTCCTCCATGAGGGCAAAGGTGCAATGTTCCCGGACAAAGGGCTCCTGCAACCTGGGGTGTTGGTCACAGAACTGGTGATGGGTGACGGATCAGGAGGTTCATCTTCGCGTAGCTTTTCAAAGGCAGCCTGGATGCCGTTGCCCTACTTGGGTGGCTGAGAAGCTGCCATGGGATGGGGGTTATCTTTCCTGGGGACCACTCCTAGGAAAGGGAGGAATCACCTTTTCCACAACCAAGGAGCATCGTCGAGAAGAATCCTACTACCTACAACAATTGAGTAGTTATGAGCTTGGTGGGTAAAGAATCCTGGACACCCACATTCATGTCCACCCCTCTGCCCACCTGCCCGCCTTTACTCTCCCAGTGACATCCGCCTTTCTCTCGCCCCTCACACACCCTCGCACACTCGCACGCGTGCACGCAGCAGGGCTCCCGTGAAACTAGAGGCTCTTCCTCCACGGCAGTGTGCAAGAGTGAGCTTCTGGCCCTGGGTTCACAGCGGCGCTATTCACAATCGCTCAGATCTGGAAACAGCCCAAGTCCCATCAGTAGAGGAGTGGATACAAAAGCTGTGGTACATGTACACAATGGAGTACTATGCAACTGTCAGAAAGAAAGCTCTCTTACCCTTTGAGATGACACGGAGGGACCTGGAGAGTATTATGCTGAGTGAAATAAGCCAGTCAGAGAAAGACAAGTACCACATGATCTCACTTATTTGTGGAATATAACGAACAGAACAAGCTGGTGAACAAAATGGATTCAGAGACTGGAAGCAGGGAACAGACTGATAAACCTCGGAGAGAAGGGAGGTGGTGGGGAGGGAAGAGATAAACCAGAGAAGTGATATGTCTCTATGCACAACCAATGGACACAGACAGCAGTTGGTGAAGATGGGGTGGTGGGGGTGCAGGAGAGAAGGGAGGAGGATGTCAGTGGGGGGAAAAAGGAGAGACATCTGTGATACTTTCAACAATAAAGACAGATGTTTTAAAAAAAGATGAGGTCGGATACCCAGCCACCTGATCTCAGTCCATTCCAGATGCATCTAGCCAATGCCCGCCGCGGTCCCTCAGTGACCAGGCTGCTGTGAGCGGTGAGACCCACCAGCCCTGCAGGGCCCCACCCAGCGCGGGCGTTAACTGCAGAAACCCTGGCACCCGGGGCAGACTCAGAACCTGTCTCCACCCTCCCTCTGGACGTCGGCATGACTCGGGGGCAGCTGCTGAGTGCCAGGAAGGACGGCACCTGTTTCTGTGATGGTGACAGGAGGAAGGACGGATTAGACCGCGCTGTGAATTCCTCCGGGTGGCATAGTCGGGGTTAGGCACAGGGCAGAGCCAGCGTCCTGGACTCACCAGGCCTGGGGGGAAATCCTGGAACCGCTTTCTATAGGCGGTTTCCCCTTTCTGTGCCTTCTAGGCATCATCTGCTGAAGTTCACGGCTGAAGCTCACAGGGTGTGGGCCTTAGAGAGTGAACAGCTGAGGACAACCAAACCTCCCACCGGGGAAGCTGCCTGTCCTCGGAGTAAGGCGGGGGGCGGGGGGGGGGGGGGGGCAGACTCTTTCCGTACGGGCCAGAGAACAAATACTTCAGGCCGTGTGGTCTGCCACAGTCACTCAGCTCTGCCGCTGTCGTGAGAAAGCAGCTATAGACAAAACGTATACACATGAGCATGGCTGTGTTCCAATAAAACTTTATTTGCAAAAGCAGGTGGCAGCCAGATTTGGCTCCCAGGCTGGAGTTTGCGGACTCCTGGTTTGAAGGATTGTTCTCTGGACTGACCTGGTCCCTGACTCCTGCCTCAGCGTGTGGAGACCACATCTTCAAGCCTCTGCTCCACCAGCCCCCTGAGTCCAAGCAGACGGTGGGAGGGCAGAGGGCCTGGCACAGGGAGGGACGGGGAGCTGGCCAGGCACGACACTGTGCATCTGCACCTCCCTTGTCTTTTGTTTTTTCCTCACCGGAGGCTATTTTTCTATTTATCATTAGATAGAGTGGAAGGGAGGGAGAGAGAGAGAGACAGAGAGAAACATCCATGTGATAGAGCCACATCAGCTGGCTGCCTCCTGTGCGACCCCACCAGGGCCGGGAACGAACTGCAACTGAGGTACGTGCCCTTGACTGGAATCGAACCTGCGACCTCCTGGTCCACGGGCCGATGCTCTAACTGCTAAGCCAATCCGGCCAGGGCTTGCACCTCCCTTAATTCTCTCGGCCACCCTCTGACCCTCTGAGGGCGGTTAGGTGACCTTTAAGGTCACTTGGCTGGTGAGCAGTGGAGCTGGGCTGAGCTCAGCCTTCGGATCCCAAGCCCTGTGCCAGTCCCCAGGTGGCCCGACGCAGTGCTTTCCCCAGGATCCCAGGGGCCTTGCGGTCAGGGCGCCCTCTGCAGGGCCTGGAGGAGCAGACTCCTGCTGCCTGCCTGCAGCTCCTTCCCTGAGGCCAGAACCCCCACTCCAGGTGCCACCAAGCCGGCCCTGAAAGGGTTCCCAGGGGTCCTGGAGTCTCCAAAGCCCCAGTTGAATCACTCAGAAGGTGGAGACCTGGAAGATTATGCAATTGACCCAAGTCAGCTTGTGCACGGCCGAGCGAGAGACCGAGGGTCTCTGGACAGCATCCTGGCTCCCCCTCTAAGAAGCGTTCTGTGCACTCCTGGGGCGCAATGGGGAGTTTGCAGCAGAGGGAGGGACACGCACACAGCGACTCGAGGTCCTGAGCGCTAAGACCAAGGGCAGCAGGGGCCGGGAGCGCAGAGGATGGACCTCCTAACTGGACCGTGGAGGTCAGCATGCGCTTTCCTTCCACAGCAGGCCGAGGGGGAGCTGGGTCTGCCCTTACTCGTCCTGCGTTCCTCGGCAGGACTTGACCTGTGGTCCATATTTGCCAGAAGGGAGGCTGAGGGGAGTTGGACTGACCCTCCCTCTGCACGGTTACTGTTAGACAGGACCGCGCCTCCGCGTGCACTGCCAATCCTCAAATCAGAGGCCCTGAGTTCATGTTGGTCAGAGCTTGGTCTCCAGGCGGCGCCCTGCTCAGAGGTGCTCTCGGCGGAAGGAGGGAGCCACAGCAGGCTACGCTCCTCTGATGGGGCGGGTGCTGTGCTCCAGTCCCCGAAGCAGGCCCCCAGAACTCCCCTTGGCTTTTGAGAGTGGAGAGAGGACAGGGAGGCTGGGCAGTGCCTACCTCATGATGCTCCACTCCGGCTCAATCCGCACAATGGTGGGGTCCTCCTTGTACTCGAAGAACAGGTCCCGGTGGATCTTGGCCCTGTCCACCTGCACCATCACCTTCATCTTCAGCTCCGCAGCCTCAGCCGCAGCCGCAGCCGCAGCCGCAGCCCAGGACGTGGTATTGCAGACTATGTAGGAGGAGGAGCGCCTGGAGGGAGGGGAGGCATGCCGCTGGGCTCCCGTGGGCAGGGAGGGGGGTGGTCCTGGGTCGGGGCCCTCCCCTCCACGCCCGTTTGTCGGGCTCCTCAGGGGAACGCTGAGCGCTGCCTCAGATAGAAAGCCCTGGAAATTGCTGGCCGAGGGCTTGCCTGAGCCTTCTTCCTGACCAGGCCTCCTCCTCGGCCCCTCTGCAGCCGGCCTAGCCCCACTCCTACAGAGAAACCTGCTCAGTCCGTTCAGCAAGAACCCCCCACCCTTGATATCTGAGCACCCTGAGGCCGTCAGCGAGAATCCTGAGTTGGTTTAGTACGGCTCCCCCTACCTTAATATTTCCTCCTAGTGATGGTCCACCCCTCACCCTGCTTGCTGGGCGTGAATCCCCAGCTGTCTTTGCCATGTTTGGAGCTGAGTCTCTCTCTCCTCTGTCGGACAGTTTGACGCCTTCTGCCACAGTCCTGAATAAACTCGCCTCACCAGGTTAACAAGCGTCACAACAGCTTTTCTGTAACATGACTCATGCAAGGCCTGGCTTGGTCCGACTTCAAGTCCCCCTCCTGGGAACCTCTCTCCGCAGAACCTCTGTCCTGCGGGACCGGCCCGGCCACGGCTCCAGGACACCTTCACGAGCCGGCCGCCTCCCTGTCCCCAGGCTCCTGGCTCATGAGAGGCAGCTCTCCCGGGGCTGGCTGGTGGAACCAGGGGAGAAAGTCGCTGCCTTGGGAGAGCCCGTCGTAGGTAGCCGGGCGGCTGCCCCACCAGCCCTCAGCGGCCCGCTTGCTCTGCAGCAGCCAGTGCGATGCCAACCCGAGGGAAGGGCTCTGACGCCAATCTCTGTCCTGTGGGACCCTCGGGTTCTGCACAGTGGGTGGTCCGGGGACCAAGGCGAAACGGTGGGCAGCAGCACCAGGAGCCCACCCAGGGGAGGGGGTGCCTGGCAGGGCTCCAGACTGAGCCCAGACATCCACAGCCAGGCATACCCAGAAGGCCCTGTCCCAAAGAGATCGGCCACTTTCCGGGGAGGAGGACGCGCTCCCAGAGGTTGGCCTGAGGAAGTCTACTGCCTGGGCAGCCCCCCCCAACTCTGGGCTGTGCACCCCCAAACCTGCCCTGCGGTTACCTGTGGAAGAGGCAGGGCTTCTTCCCAAACATCACCAGCACATTGCTGCCCGCGTTCAGGTTCGTGCCCGTGATGGTCACCTGGGTGCCTCCGGACATGGGCCCCTGGCTGGGCCTCAGGTCTGAGAGAGTCAGCGTCTGCGAGGGAAGGGGCTGGCTTGAGACGGGCCAGGACAGGCGGGGGAGGCCTCTGTGCGGCCCGAGGCAGCGCCCACACCCTGCCGCCTCCTGAAATCCTTACTAACGGTGGCCTCCCAGAGAGCGGGCGGTTTGCATAGGCTGCGTGGATAGGCCACGTTCTGGCCCCTGGAGCTTGCATCTCTATATTAATAATAGTTGTGACACCAATAACAGCTGCTATGGACTGATTTTTAAGCGGCAGGCTTTATAGCTTCAAACACATACATAATTTAATATATATGTATATATTAATGTATATACATTATGTAATAAATAATGTGTATGCATATATAAAACATTTATCTGTCCAATCAATACCACAAGGTAGGTATTATACCCATCGTGCAGAGGAGATTCAGAGAGGTCGGGTACAGTTTCCAAGGTCACATAGCTGAAACGTGGCACAGCTGAGACCTGATCCCAGAGCCCCAGTTTGCTTTCGGAAGGTGGTCTGGCCCTTCTGCAGACCTCTGGCGCCCTGAAGCGCCCAGGGCCAGAGTGAGGGCCCCAGGGAGGCCAGGCGGTGGGGGCTAAGGGACTGGACAGCGGATCGAGTGGAGCAGACTTGGCAGTGGGAGGGGGTGCCTGAAGATTTGGAGTTGCAGTGTGTTCTTTCATTAGCATTTTAATGGAAAAAACTTTCTCAGTCCCAGGTGAGAAGCCTGTATCTGCATTTAAATGAAGATTTCATCCCCCCCTCCCTGCCCCCTCAGAATTCTGTACGGAAGCTGAGCCCACCCAGGTCCTCAGAGCTGGCCGGCAGCCCCACCGAGAGGTCTGGATCGATACCACCAGAGAAGAGAGGCTGCAGCCTGCACTGGGCTCCCGAGTGAAGGCTCAGGGCACGTGCGCAGGGAGGGACGCTCACTGACCGCTGCCGTCTGCGCTCGGCCACCGGTCCCGCAGATCCCAGCCTGGCACCCCCGTGGCACCCACCACGCAGAGGAGTGCGCCCTTCTGCCTCTGTCACTGGCTCAACCACAGACCTGGACAGGGGCCGGGGGAGGTGCGGAGGAGTCTTTTCTCTGCTCTGCCTAGCCCAGGCTGTTGGACTGGGGGCAAGTCACTTACCCTCTTGATCACAAAATCAGGGAGCTGGGTCCCAAAGTGGTTATCTCGAAGGCGCCTGGTGGGTTTTTGGCTCTGTGAGCCGGTGTCACCTCTCACACAAGGTTTCTTTGCCCCCACTGTTTGTAACGGGAGGGCTCTCAGACCTGGGTCCTGCTGACCGTCCCAGGGAGGGGGGGAAGGGTGGCTGTGTGTGCGTGCATGTGCATGTGTGTGTGCATGTGTGCGTGCGTGTGTGTGCATGTGCTGTGTGTGCATGTGTGTGCGTGTGTGCGTGTGTGTGTGTATGCATGTGCGTGTGTGTGCATGTGCGTGTGTGTGCGCGCGCGTGTGTGTGCATGTGCGTGTGTGTGCATGTGCGTGTGTGTGTGTGTGCGTGTGCACACCCAGGGGCTGCAAGGGAGAGTTAGACCCTTGGAGGATGAACAGAGAACAGGCTCCCTGGCAGCCTGTGGGAGGGAACTTGGAAGGGGTAGAGTCAGTGACCCCTGCTGGCTCTGTGGGGTTGCTGGGGTGGGGATGCCATGGAGATGTGTTTTGCAGTTGTGAGAAGCATTCATTATTCCAGACATGCTCATGAACACTTCGCTGTGGGGTGCACGGGAAATCAAGCCTGTCCTCACTTGCCACCTCTTCCCTTGCTCCCTGGGTGGAGGTCGAGGGGAGGGACAGCCCTCTTTCCAGGGACACCTCCGGGGACCCAGCTTGTGACAAGACCGACCGGCATGCATCACGGAGTCTGGCCTGGTTTGTGGAGGGAGACCAAGCCTGACCCCTAACCTCGGCCCCGGGCAGGGGCTCCCCAGCTGAATCAGACTCCGGAGGAGCTAGGGGCTTTCCGTGGGCCCAGACTGTTCTCCCTCCGTGCCGCCTGGGAGGCAGTGCGGGCTCCGAGGTGCTCGGGAGCCTGACAGGGGGCCATCCTGTGTCTCCCCAACTTCCTGGTGAGAGTCATGGGGACCTCTGCCTCTCATTCCCACTCTGAACCCCTAGGAGCTCTGTGGGGGGCCCTGAAGGACTGGGCCCTTAAATACAAGCTGGGGTCTAGGGAGGAGACTGGGGTCCCTACCACCATTTCTCCTCCGTGAAAGTTTTCCCAAGTAAATAGGGAGCACTAGGGCAGCTCCTCAGAGATGCCCTCCAATAGAAAAGTGACACAAATGTCGGGGTGCCAGGGATCCACCGGACCAATGCTTTTACCTTGTGGCAACAACCCTCCTTTACCCCGACCTGCCTTGTGCCCACCTCTCCCGGTCCCATCACCCCCTTCTCTCTCCCGCCTCTGGCGCGTTTCTCTGCCGCCCCTCATCCCAGGAACAGCTTCCACTCGTTAGGACCCACAGAACACTGGAGTCTGCCCTGCGCAGACCCTGCCTTCCCGCCGGCTCCACAGAGCCGCGCCCTGACCCCTGCCCCGACCACGTCCTGCTCTGGGCAGACACCACCTGCAGGCAAGACTGACAGCCCCTGAGCGCGGCAGGTGTATCTGCCCCGGGAGGCTGCAGGCACACGCCAGCGGCCCCGTCAGCAGGGCTCCTGGGCCGGCGGTCCTCAGCCCGGGCTGCAGTGAAAACCTGTGCCCGCTGCAGGGTGTGATTAACCTGGGTCCAGAGCCCCAACGCCCCTCCAAGGTGCAGAGAGGTCTAGAACTGCCCAAGCGCCAGGGGCTGGTGAAGAATCAGTAGCCAGGGTTTCATCTGCAGAGGGGCTGGTCTGACAGAGCAGCAGGGCCCCCCCGCGCACTGAGCGCCCTGCAGGCGGACGCCACGGGTCCGGTGAGCAGGCCGGTGGCCCGGGAGACAGATGAGGAGGGGTCGGGGCAGCTCTGGGAAGACCGGGAGGGCATGGCTCAGAGCGGTGCGGGACGGAGGCCGAGAAGGGAAGGGGTCGGTGGACAGAGCCCGGAGCAGTGGGGGAGGACGGGCAGGGCAGCCAGACCAAGGGCCTCGGGAGACCGCTAGAGGCCGTGGGCACCCTGCACCCTTCATGAGGCTGGCTGGCTGTTGAGATGGCATTGAGCCCTGGTGGATGGCTTACGACGGGCTCAAACCAGAGGCGGGTATTGAAGGAGGCCACTGGGGTGGCAAACAGACGGGAAAAGTCAGATCCAGGCCATGGCGATGGAGGGGAACGAGAGGAGGCTGGGTCACAGTCCAGCACGTGGACCTGCACCACAGGTGACTGAGACATGGGCAGGTGAGGGGGACCCCTGTGTGGGAGCTGACAGCCTGGCTGGGCATGGACGGTGCTGGCAGGACATTCAGGGGCTAGTGGCTCTGAGCTAGTCCTGGAGGGGAGGCGAGGGGCCTGGCTGGAGACACGCAGGGACAGCCCAGGCCCAAGGAAATAGCAGCTTCCTGAGGTCATGGCTGTTCCTTTGTCATGGCCAGGGGACCCCAGGCAGCCACGTGGCCACGGGGCCCAGTGCTGTGGCCTCCCCTGCACCCAGCTGCCAGGGCACTTTGGAGCCAGACCTCGTGCCCAGCGGCAGGATGCCAGGCCGCCCTCCCGAACACCTGGGAGTATTATCTCTGTCCCTCGCCCCTCCCTCCCTCTCTCCCCACCTCTCTCCCTCTCTCCCTCTCTCCCTCCCTCTCTCCCTCCCTCTCTCCCTCTCTCTCCCTCTTCCTCTCTCTCCCTCTTCCTCTCTCCCTCTCTCTCTCTGTCTCTCACACTCTATCTATCTCAACTCTGCCTGCTTAACAATGTATGTATGTTACAAATACATATATAAAATATGCCATATACGTGTGCACTTTCTATATAAGCATATATACATTGATCACTCATTGTCTCAAGGTGTATTGGGTTTAACTTAAAAATCCCTTCAAATCCTTTCAGAAGAAGGTGGAGGTACAAACCCTAAACAGATAGGTGAAACTGCACACCCATGAGATCCATTACATGTGTGCCCTTCTCTGTGAGTCTCCATGTGTTTGGTGACAGCCAGCTGCTCCTTAGAGTAGAGTGTAGGGGGGGTGCCGGCAGCAGGGCCCCAGCAGGAGGGGCATCTGTGCAGGGTCCTCGGTCCCCACCTCCACGACTGCATGCACATCCTCTGTCTCACCTCACCTTCTAGACCAGTGGTGCTCAACCTTCCTAATGCCGCGACCCTTTAATACAGTTCCTCATGTGTGGTGACCCCCAACCATAAAATTATTTTCGTTGCTACTTCATAACTGTAATTTTGCTACTGTTATGTCTTAGGCGACCCACAGGTTGAGAACCGCTGTTCTAGATTGTGTCCTCCCAAGGAGGGGGTGTCGGCTCTGAGTCATCACTAAGACACCACAGGCCAGGGCCATCAAACTATCGTTATACAATCCAACCAATTAAGCAAGTATTTATCAAATAAATACCTTGTGAGAGGTATTGTGCAAGGTGATAAATGGCTGTCAGCTGAATGGAGAAAGAAGAGGAGGAAGGTAGATGAGAGAGAAGGAAGGGAGGGAGGGAGGGAGGGAAGGAGGGAAGGAGGGAGGGATGGAGGGAGGGAGGGAGGGAGGGAGATAAGGAGGGAGGGAGGGAGGGAGGAGAAAACTGGGCTCCCCATGACAGGGTTCAGGCCATTCAATGCTCAGAGGTAAAATCCATCACTGGGTCGCCAGCCTCCCGCAACAGCTGGGCACGGAGAGGAAATTATAGCAGCCCAGCCACTGACCCGAGAGGCGAAGGGGATGGAGCAACAGGTCGGAAACCACGCGGCCTGTGCGGCAGGGGATGTGCTCTGGTCTCCAGCATCCCTGCCGTCACAGAACCCTCACCCAGGAGGGCAGGAGCTGGCCAGGCAGCCTTGGCAGGGCTCGGAGGTCAGGCCGGAGGGAGGGAGGGTTGGGTGAAGCCCACAAAGAGCCATGGGATGGGGAGGAGGATGCGGGCGAAGGGAGTTGGGTGGGAGGGGGCAACAGTGTGGGTGGAGGAAGGCGGAGGGGGTACCAGCGAATGCAGGGAAATGAAGTGGGTTCAGGAGGTCATGGGCCAGGGATGGGCGCGTCGGGAAGTGGGATGCGTGAGGATGAAGGGTGGCAATGCTGGGGTGCCCGTGTGCAGGCAGGGCTGGCAATCAGAGAAGCCCTAGAGGAATTGATACTGGAAGTGGTAAATCTGTTCCACGTCATTTCCACAACCATGCCATGGGGCAGATGCTATCATCGTCACCCTGTTTTAGACAAGCAGACACTGAGGCACAGGAAGGTTACGCAACTTGCCCAGGTTCACTGGGTCAGTGCAGAGCCAGGGCTCGAGAGCCAGGAGTCCTGAGGCATGACCCAGTCTCACCGTCCATGCCACACGGGGCCCGGGGCCAACGCCACCTCCGGGAACTGCAGGCCGGGCGCAGCCTGGAGGGGACGCAGGTCCTCGGACGTCTAAGGCGTGTTCCCTCTGCCTGCCCTGGCCCCGGGTTTGCCCACGGAGCTCGGACGGGCCAGGAATCACGGGAATGCGGCCGTGGCCTGCGCGCGGCCGGGACTCACCGTGAAGTAGTAGAGCTGCGAGGACCGGGCCATGAACTCGGGCCGACACACGGCCACGCAGATGTCCACGAAGCCGGCGTGCTGGCTGGGCTTGGCCTCCCCCATCTCACACACGATCCTGCGGGAGGAGCGGCAGACCCGGGTCACAGGGGGCCGGGGACTCCCTCCGAGCCACCGCCCCGGGCGTCTCTGCAGTGGGATCTTGGGGATGGGCGGGGGAGGGGGAGTGGAAGACACCCCAAATTCCTCCACGAGCTCCCACGAAGGGCTCCCTGCTCCCAGCCCCAGCTGGGGCCTGGCAACCAGGAGACCAGGAGACATTCATATTGGGGGGGGGGGCAGGCATTTTTCCCTTTGGATATACATTTTTATTGTTTTTTTTTTTTTTTTTTTTAATCCTCATTCGAGGACATTTTTCCATTTTTTGTACAGACAGAGTGGGAGGGAGAGAGAGGAAGAGAGAGAGAGGGAAACATCGATGTGAAAGGGACACATCGAGTGGCTGCCACCCGCACGACCAACCAGGGCTGGGGACAAACTGCAACCGAGGTACATGCCCTTAGCGGGAACCGAACCCGGGTCTCTCCGGACCGCAGGTGGACGCTCTAACCGCTGAGCCAAACCGGCCAGGGCCATTTTTATTGTTTTAATGACAAAATGTGTTCATACCCCTTGAGAACGAGACAGTACAGAAGTGACAGTAAAATAGCAAGTGTCCCATTTTTGACTCCTAACCTCTCCCTCCCTTAAAAGTTTGGCGTATATAATCTCGCAGACTTTCTCCTAGATCTATACCAATGAGGAAACTGAGGCACAGAAACTAGGCAACTTGCCCAAACATATGTATATATATTTGCACATATACACACTCATATGCACACATATATGTACATATGTTTCTGTTTGATGTTAGGCACACATAAACAAATGTTTTATATATATACACACACAGCTATACACAAACATACATATATAAAGAAGCAGACACGACTGTAAAAATAAAAGTGAAACATAGCTGCCCACTGTCCTAACCCCTGTCTTTTGACTCAACAATACAGCAGGGCTCTCCTTGATGTCACTGAGTAGACACAGTGTCTACTGATGGAACAAATGACTGTTCCATCATTTGTTTCCTGGATTAAGTGAGGGTGCGCATATTTCCATGCGTGTGTGGTTTTTAATCTTACGTAGCCTTCCCTGTGACTTGTCCGAAGCCCAGTCTTTACTTTGCTAATGAAATGCCCTTTTGTGGGAGCCGCTGGATGCGGAGTGGTCACTGTCGCCTGTGACAAATAGCGCATTATTTTCTCCCCGCCGGTCGAGTGAGTTGTGTTCATGACGTCGTCGCCGCCCTGCGGCTTATAGGCGGCTGTGTGGTCCGGTGGCTTCTTCTTGTACTTTACGGCTTCTGGGTTCTGCGTCTCCCCTAGAAAGAGCTTCTAGGTGAGGGCCCAGCAAAACTATGTGCCCTTCTGTCCAGATAACAATTCATACGTGTTCAGTGTAAAAAAATAGGAAGTACATAGAAGCACTTGCCGTACATACACCCTGCCTCACCCAAAGAGTCACTGTCCACGTTTCCAATGTGGCTTTTCTTTCCTGAAATGAGTCAGAAACCCTGCCTGCTGCTGCGGAACCTGTGTTCTCACTTCGTACACCTCGAGTGTACTCCTGGTCACGATTCTTCCACAATATCAGATTTAATGGCTCTGCAGTTTACTGTCCTGCGCATATAAAAGAATTTACTGAGTCGATTAATTCCTGATTTTCCCACATACAAACTGCCTCTAACGTTTAACTGGTATAATTAAGGCTGAAATAAGCATTCATGAAAATAAATATTTGTGCATCCTGGTTATCAAGGGAAAGACCCAGACGTATTCTGGCTGAAGACTTGGAGCTCACGTTTCCGAATTCCTTCCAGAAAGTTCATCCTGACCCGCCCTCCTGACATGAATGTGTGCATGCCGTTCCTCATGGCCTCTCCTCTGCACTCGGTATTGACTTTCAAAGATTGATCCATGCTGTTTTAATTTGCATTTCATTGATGACTACAAATAAGCATTTTTATACGACGTCGGATGCTCTTTGCTCATTGTGTGATATTTGCCTTTTATTGGTAAAGCCTCTTTATATGTTCAGAAAAAGCACCTCTTTGCTGTAATAGGGTACAACCATATACCCAGTATATCACCCATATTTTTATTCTGCTTAGTGGTTTTTGATGCACAAGTTTTAAGTTTTATTACTCAAATCTTCTAATCTTTCCCTTGATGATTTTTCTTTGCAGTTACACTTAGAACACCTTTCTTGTCTCGAAATTAGATAAATTCTCACCTGGATTTTCTTCTAGTCCTATCACAGTTTCATTTTTTGCACTTAACTTTTTAATCTGTCAGGAAATCGTTGTGGAGTAGAAAGTGAAGCCAGGATCGGCTGTTGTGTTTTTTCCGGGGGTGAGCCGGCACTGCTTTCTGAAGGCTCTTTCCTTGCCCATTTGAATGGCCACTTTCTCTGTCTGGGTGTTCACCTGATTCCACGGATCTAACTGGCACCGTGATACTTCGATCACGTGGCATGATAATGTTTTAATGTCAGGTCCCAAGCAGGGCATTTCAGAGTTCCCTAAACCACAGTATCTCAGCAGCCGCTGGCTTTGGTTCTATCCCAGGAAGGGCTCAGAAAGTTGAAGGAGCCGCAGAATGAGCTTCAGATAAATAAATGCAGATGGACCAGGGAGGTGAGTCGTATCGAGACGGGAACGTTCAATCTGAACTACTTTGAGCACCTAGAAGGACCAGAATGGAAAGCAGGGAGCTGAGGGTGGCGGTGCTCATGGTCCCGGGATCACCACATCCAGGCGAGGTCCAGTCAGCGCAGACGCGAAGGCGCTGACCCACCTAAGGGAGGCCTTGCAAAGAGCCAAATGTCTGCACACAGGACGGTGGCAAGGTTTTGCCCCAGAGGGGCAGCAGAGACGGCATAGAATATAGATTCTATCGTGCTGGTAAACATTGCGTGGCTGTGTTTGCTGGGCTGGAAAATTGTGTTTACTTATTTACAAGGCAATATGTGACTCTCAAACCTCCTCCACCAGGTAGGCTAGAGGTCAAGGTCGCTTGCTGAATGACCCTTTCAGTGGACCAGCAGGTTTTGCAAAGAGGAAAACCATCCAGAGTACCCACAGGCTTGCAAGTGAGTGTGGAGTCTCATCTCAGTCACCTCGCAGGGCCCGTTTCTACTATAACTGGGGGAGGACACGCATGAGGAGTCAGGGGCAGCAGAGGGAGTTGGGGTACGCCACTGAACTCACACCTTCCTTGCAGATTTCAATGTTGCTTTGTCTCATTCCTTCTCACCCCCACAGCCCAAAGAAGTAACAACCACTTTTCTCTTCTCTCCCAGCCTGTCCGCTCTCTCCGCGTCCTTCAGTACGGCAGCTGGCTCAGGCACTGAGACTTGTCGAGTCCCAGCCCAGCATCCTAGGATGTTAAGGGCCTTCTCCTTTTACCCCCGAAAGCTCTCAGGCCATTTGTGGTTGGCCTAGCATCCTGCCCCCGGCGCCCCGCCCCCGCACCCCTCTGGGCCTCAGGCCACTCCCACTCACTGTTCCGCAGGGATGTAGCCGTCCACCAAAGGGCTGCACTCCACACCGGCCACCTTGACATACGAGGCGATGTCTCGGAACTCCAGGCCCAGGTTCTCTCCTCTGATGGTGACCCTGGTGCCCCCTTCCCGGGGGCCTGTCACTGGGATTATCTGGAGAAGGAAGCATGGGAATTTGCAGGCACCAAGAGCCATCACCCACTTGCTGACGGGCCAAGGAAGGGTTGCTGGCTCTTCCCCGAGCCCCCAGGCTCCCCGGCCTGGCTCTATCGATGCGCAGGAGCTTCTGGTGGAGCAGTCGGAGTGTGTGTGGCTCGAGGAGCAGTGTTCAAAGACCCTCGTCATCGTCCTGTTTCACAGAAGAGGGAAGGGAACGGGACCCACAGCAGTGCTGGGTGGTTCATACAGAACCGGAATTACAGCCTTTTGGCGTTTGCTTGGGTTGCTTCCAGACTCCAGCTAAACCATCGGAGTGGCCCTCCTATGAACCCACAGCCCCCCACACTATGGGAACCCACCCATTTTTTAAGATCCTGCTCAAATGTCCCTTGCAATAACTAGATATTCTCTCTCTTTCTCCTCCTCCTATACCCTCCCCCTCCCCCCACATGAAAATTTAAGGCACCTTCTTCGTGCTCCTTTCACGGTAACTTTGTGTCCGACTCCCACCCTTCCATCCCCACCCACTTCCTCCTCCGATGGGTCTGAGCAGGGACTGCCTCCCTGCGGCTTCTCGGTGGCAGCACCGACTTGGCTTCCCGAGCTGCGACCGTACTGCGACCCCGACTCTCCAAGCTTCCTCCGGAGCTGGCAGAGCACCTGCCGCAACCCCTTGACCCTCACTGCCGACTTGGTTCCTAAGGGAGATTTGATGGAGGAGACCTCACCCTCCTGCACTGGCCAAACGCTGGCTTTCCAACAACCCCGGGGCTGCTTCGAGCGCGGGCTCCGTGCCACCCCACACGGGGACCTTCGTGTCGGAACACACTTGTGCCAGCCCTTCTCGGCGTCGGACAGGCAGAGAAAGGCACGTCCCCCTTCCTGGGGCCTCGGAACGCCGGCAGCTGGATCTCGGCCAGCGTCAAGGGCATCGCAGTGAGAAGAGCCCAGAGGGGCCGCTCCTTAATAGGTCCCCCTCTCTCCACCTGCCAAGGGTCATGCCTGGGGGTGCCAGCCCGGGGACAGAGGAAGGTGGGGACGGGAAGGAACTAGGCTGAGGGGGCCCCGGGCGGGCGGCAGCTTCGCCAGGGGAGACTGTTCACCTACAAAGGCCATGCGCTTCCTGCTTCGTACACATGCAGGTGCGCGCCTGTGAGTGAGCGTGCACACGAGTGTGCGGGCTCCCCACGTGTGTTCTCATCGCATCGGCAACAAAGGTTCTTTGGGGACAGAGCCAGCCCTGTGTGAGGGGGTGGGCGATACAGGGAGGGAGAGAGGGGAGTCCGTGACCCCCCAACGCCTGCCCAGCCAGTCCCCAAAGCGCCACGGGCGCCTGCAGTAGCAGCCGCAGGTTCCCCGGGTACCCGAGGCCGATGCCAGGACGGAGCCAGTAAATAGCCTCCGCCTCGGGGAGATCTGTTTAGTTTGCCATCTCCTCCCTACAATTTTCTTGGTCTCAGGCCAAGAAGAAAGTCAGTCCCGCCGTGTTTGCCAGACGTGCTGTTAGTGGTCACACGTGCCAGGGTGGTCTCTCCTAAGGGCTCTGGGGGTGGTGGCGGGAATGAGGGAGCGTGAGGCCCAGTCCAGGTACAGGACCAGGGCAGGGGCTGGAGGGGTGACCTGTAGGGGCTCTTTCTGCTGGGAGTGTGGCGTGGGGAGGTGAAGACACAGGGCCACCCCATGGACGCGATTCCTGCAGCTTAGACATGCTCAGCAACGATTTCAATAACGAAGATGAGCAGGGGGAGGAAGACGGGGGGACCCCTGTAGGCTGGGCACGGATTCTCTCCTATAATCCTTATAACTCCCCGTGAAACAGACAGCTGGGCCCGCTGCACAGGTGAGCACGCTGAGGCACAGGCAGTGATGAATTAGCCCTGAACTGCCCTGCAACTAGCCGACCGAGCCAGGACTCAAACCCTTGACCCCCACGCAGCCTCTGTCAGGGTCCACTGCCTGGGGAAGCTGCCGCCCATGGCTCTGTCACCAAGAGAGACTCCTGGAGACAAAAGGAGGGTGGTGAGGACTGCGAGTCCTTTTGACACAGCTTCGGTGGAGACTCCCATCGGGACGGTGGAGCCCCAATCTGCTTTCGCCTTCCCTGACAGGGGAAGGGCCCCGAATCGAGCCTACAGCGTCTGGGAAGCTGTGCAGGGAAACCCGGTGCCTTCAGCCAGCGGGGACCACGGGGCGATCACCCAGGCCAGGCACAGCCCTGGCCCAGCCCGGCCGGCGCAGGCTTACCTCCGTGATGCGGGGGTTCGTGCACTTGCTGTTGGCGCCTGCCAGCTCCAGCCACTGGCTCTCGTGGACCGGGCAGTGCTGCCGCAGGGTGCACTGGGCCGGGACCTGGCACCAGCCGCACTGGAAGTCTGGGTCCGCCTTGAGGCACAGGCCACAGCTCTCCCGCATGGCTCCGCACTTATAGAGGTGAACTGTGGGCAGAGGGCACGCGGGCGGGGTCAGCGGCTGGGAGGGGCGGGCAGTGCAGGAGGAGTGCAGTCCCTCGCTCTGGGGACGGGCCGGACTGGGAGGGCCAGTCTCCCTTTACCAGCCCTGCTCCCTTCGCTGCTCTCCCAGGGGTCACCGGCCACGCTGAGCCCGCGCCCAACAAGTCAGAGCAGTGGGGACGAGGCTGTGCAGGGAGGGCTCAGGCCAGAGGCGGAGGGCCCGCCCTGGGGGGGGATAGATGACATTGCCCCCGAGTGCAGGGCAGCTCCCCTGGCCCCGGGCCGCCGCACCTTTGTTCTGAGCTGGGTTGTCGATGCTGAAGTGCCCGTTCCACACGACCGTCAGCGCCACGGGCAGGTTGTTGATCTCCATCCCTTCGTAGGAATACTGCAGGCAGGGGGGAGGGAAGGGAAAGTCTGGGTCACAGATTTCTAGAGGAGCCGGAGGTTCAGCCTGGGGCCCTCAAGAGTACACCGGGCTAAATACTGGCCCGACTGTGCATGTGTGGGGGGCACGTGTGTGCACATGCACACCTGTGGGTGGGCGGGGGCGCTATGGGGACATGACACGGGGCTCAGTGCAGGCAGGAGGGCCAGGCCTGCCGGGTGGGGTTCCCGCTCGGAATGCAATGCAGGTCCATGGAGCAGCCCTGAGCTACTCATCCACCTTCCACGGAGGCCTGTTCCCACTGGCTGGGCTCTCCCTACAAAGCGTCCCTGCGTCTCAGCCTTGGGCCTGCCGTGCTAAGAGGTGGGCGGGGGGTAGGAGGGGTGCGGCTGGGGACAGTCCCCAGGCCTGCCGCCCCCATCTGCCTTCTGAGAGCTTACACTTGTCCTCCCCAGAGGTGGGGCACAGAGCTCAGAGCCTGCCCAGGCACCAGCTCCAATCCCTGCCTGGTGGTTTTCTCATCATCACACCAGACACCGCAGGGGGTGGGATGGAGGACCGGCACCAGACAGCTTTCCTCCAAGGAGGGGCTGAGCTTTGACAATTTGTTGATGGGTCAGTTCGGGGGGATTGGTTTGACGTGGTACATTTGCAGAGCCAACAGGCTGTTCTAAAGTTTGGAGGGGCTGGGCCATGGGGGTGTTGACAGGCAGTGACACTCCCTAGTCACAGCACCTTCACCAAGGGGAGGGAGCCACAGATCCCGGGGGACGCACCAGGCCTGTCACTCGGGCCTGTCACTCGGGCCTCTGCTTCTGTCGCCCATTTGTAGAGGCTTCTAGAGAAGTTCTCATGCTAAGCTGAGAAATCTCCCAGAATTCCTGAGTCCCCGAATGCGCTCCAACGTGAATATGCTGTGATGTCCTCATACAGCAACATCACCAGGATGCCGGTGCAGCCTTCTCCGGGGTCTAACCTACAGCTCCGAAATGTGTCCCTAGCTCCCCGCTGAGCATGCCCCGGCCAGGGAGCTACAGTCAGTGTTTTCCCTACAATGGCGATGATTCGAACCACCCACACTCCCATAGCATCTCCCTGTGACCGACGGCACCTGGGCCGCAGCCAGGGTCTGGGCTCAAGCCGCAGAACAGAGCCAAGCTCCCTGGACTGCAGAACCACAGTGGGGCATTTTTGATCATCGAATAACTCAGCTGCTGACTCATGAGCTCTTTGCCACACAGCTCGGTCATCAGCTCCCGGGAGACTGTGTGCTTTGTGTCTGCGGCAGGCTAGGTCCTGAGTTTTCTCACAAAGTATCTTCTACTCCAGACTGGTGGTTCTCTTGGACCACCTCCATCAGAATCGTTTAGGGCTCTACTAAAGGCAGATCCCAGGGCCCCAGACCAGAGAGCTGAACTGGAGTCTAAGGAGATGGGGAGCATTTCGAACATGCAACTCTAGTGTCTGGTGCTGGAGAGAGATGCAAGAGAGAGAGAGACTTTTCTTTTCTTTCTTTTTAAAAAAATGTTTCCCCTTTATTGTTTTAGAGAGAGAGGAAGGGAGAGGGAGAGAGAGACAGAAACATTAATGAGAGAGAACATCAATTGGCTGCCTCCTGCATGCCCCCCACTGGGGATTCGGCCCACAGCCTGGGCATGTGCCGGACCTGGGAATTGAACCTGCAACCTCTTGGTGCAGGGTCGATGCTCAACCAGTGAGCCACACCAGCCGGGCAGAGAGACTTTTCTAGACCTCCCATCCCATTTCCTCCTCTAGTCAAGTTCTACTTCCTATCCTTCCCATCTCCCTCCCCACGGCCCCCTTCGGGGAGTGTGCTGACGGCAGCCCCAGGCTGCCAGCTACAGGGTTGTGCCCCTGCCCGGCTCTGCCCAGGACCCAGAGGAAGTAGCACTTTGTGGCAGAGGACATGTCGACTAAAGATCAATAGAACCGTCAGGCCCCTCTGAGGAAGGACCTGGAATCCCCAGAGAACAAGGCAGGAAATTCTGCATGCGCCTGCGTGTGTCCGTGTTTACACGTGTTCACATGCGTGCTGACTGAGAAGAGGTCAGCGCACAGAGCGGTATTATCTGTGTGCGTGCATGTTCATGCATGTGTGCGTGCACGCACTGCCACGACGTGGCTCTGTAGTGACCAGCCGTGTGAATGTGGGCAAATGACTAACCTGGGGTCCCCGTTTGTAAAGTGGGAGCACAAACAGCGCCTACCTCCCAGCATTGTGAGGGTCTGAGACAACCGTCCAGTGCTCTGAGCACAGTGCCTGTCAAGGAGAATGGGCGCTCAGATGTCACTGTGTGTGTCAATCTAGGTGGACACGCCAGGGATGCTGTGCGACGTATATCTGGGCCCCTGTGCTTGCGTTCACGTGAAATAATAACAGCAGCCACGTACTGCGTGCTTATGCACATACACTGGGTACATATGGAGGTGTGTGCAAGAGAAAGCTTGTGTGTTCAGGTGTGCGTGTGTGCGCGTGCGTGCACATTTTCCTTCTGAAAAAAACTGACAATAAGAAACACTTTAAGGGTTAAATATGCTGGGCGTTACTTTCTCTTTCTGTCCCTTTCCTGGGATCTGGATTATGAAATACTATAGAAATCATTAACTCCCCATCACCCCCTCAATCTCTAGGGAAATCACTCTCCTTCCTGGACACGCTCTGTCCCCCGTGATCTGCACCCCACAGGAGAGCGAGCGAGGCGGACTCCCACCCCTACAGCTCCCGCCGCTGTGGCCCTTAGCGTTTACAGAGCCCTCTGATCAGTGAGCAGTCCATCTGCGCGCGGCCCGAGCTGACCGGAGAGTGTGCACGCGGCCAGGGCCAGGGGTTAAGTGTCCCCATCAAGTCTGCACACCGTGGCCAGCTGGTGGAGGTCGGTGATCATGACCTTGGGAAAGGGTGAACCTCAGTTTCTCTCCCTTCTGAAGCAAAGAGAAAACCTCTCTGTAATTTGGACATTCTTTCCTCCAACCACTCTCTTGTCCCAGGTTCTGGGAGATTTTGCTGGAAAGCGAACAAAAATTCTGAGCAACGTAAAAAGCCCGTGCGTCTGCCTGCGGGACCCGGGGCTCAGCAGACACTTCCCGGCTGTGCCCCAGGCAGGCAGCAAGGGAACAACACCCCGATCGGTCTCGCCACCCCTGTTTTGCACATGTTAAACTGGGGCACCAGGAGGACACGTGAGGCCACGTAGGTTTGTGGGAGCTGGGCGGGATGGAGGAGCCCTGGGACCTCAGCCCGCTGCCCCCGGTGGCCCACTAACCCGTGTGAGTGCTGGTGATCGAGAGGCGGGAACCAGGCATTATTATCAGCACTTGGATTTCTCTGGAAACTTGGTGCCAAGGAGGCCAAGATACCCACAGTGTGCTCCCTCCAGCCACTGCCTGGGAGCTGCCCTGTCCTCCTCCCACGGGCCCCTGGGGCTGCAGTGATGGGCCCAGGGCCTGTCTCCAAAGAGTGGGCTGGGAGCCACCTGCCTGCCCACCCAGCCCAGAGTCATGGCTATGCCAAATTTTCCTGTGTCTCCTTCCCTTTTCTGCTGTCCTCTGAGACCGAGTTGTCACCGCCTCTCTCATCACAAGTCCAGGGGGTCCTCTGTTAGCCCCTCTTCCTTCCTCCCCCATCCAGAGGGCTTGCTCAGGCTGGACCACAGTGACTCCGTCCACAGTCCGCCCCGAGGCAGAGCAGACCCCGCCCCCTGGGGCGCACCAAGGCTGGGTGGACAGTGCTCCTTGCTCGTTTCTGCTCACATGTTGATTAGGGGGTGTGTTAGGAGCCCAGCACTGCCTTTCTTTATCCCCTTGGTGCTGACCAGGGACCAGCACCAGGTCCCCCAGAGGAGACCCAGCCCCTGTCCGTCGGGGCTGCCAAGCTTCCCGGTGTGCCCTCGTGCCCAGGAAGCTCTGGTTGTGCCCTCGCTTTCGGGGAGTTAGCTCCCTGTGACCCTCGCGGGCTCATTCATTGAGTCAGGCATTGACTCAGGAAATGCTGGGGTTATCTGAACACAATCAGCTTCCGATTCTGGCAGGACTAGCTCATGCTAGTCCCCCAGGGATGGACGGAGATCCGGCCCAGGGGTTTATGGGACCAACTCAGGCTGTCATCCGGATTATGCTGGCCGAGCTAGCAGAAGCGGGGGCCCAGTCCTATGACGTCTGGGGAACCAACAACTCATCATCAGAGGTCCTCCTCCTGACCCTGCTGAGGCCCGGATCTCTGGGGCAGCTCCCTGGCGGGAACGAAGAGGTTTTCTCCGTGGCCTGAAATCCCCAGCTGACTTCGGCAGGGTCAAATGTGGGGCTCGGGCTCCCGTCCCACGGGGACTTGATCATTTCAGGGAGAACCAGCTGGGCCAAACCCTTGGGACTGGTCTGCTTGGCCTCAGGACTTAGGAGGAAACAGATGTTTAATATCCTTTAGTGTGCAGGTTTAACCTGGGGCTCTGCAGAAATCTGCAAAGCAGGCTGGCCACCAGGGGCCACAGCTGGGGTTTCCGAGGCTGTGATCAGCGGTCAGCTCAGCCCTGTGATGCTGAGCCACCTCGGGCCAGCATGCGGGCCTCTCTGAGAGTCACTGAGCCCTAAACTGCTTCCCAGGGGAAGAGCGGAGGGCCCCCCGAGATGCTTTGTCCCACATCACACCCGGAAGCAGCGGGCGGAGGACTGGCGGCCATGTGAACAGAGGACACCGCACCAGGCCCAGCCCTGCGCGCACCGGCTGTGTGATCTCCCCCAGGTCACTGGCCCTCCAGGCAGGGGCAGCTGCTCTGGGCACGCGCAGCTGCACCCCTCGAAGGCCTGCCTGTGCGCCTACTCTCGTATTTCTTCTATTTCCGTCTTCAAGAGGGTCCGCCCGATTGATAACACTCAGCCCCACACACCTGGATCTCTCCCTGCTCTGGCCTCCAGTTTCTCTTTTGTACAGTGAAGAACAGGGGAAAAGTTACAAGTATTCAAGTAAATTCTTGTCTCTGAGCACCTGGGTGCAAAGGAGTAGCCCAGGAGAGAGAGAGCAAGCAGAGCAGGGGCTGGCGAGGCTGCCGGCCGGCCGGGAGAGGCGGAGATGGCAGGCGGTGGTGCATCGGGAGGGTCCCCCGCCTGGTACCTAGGGCTCAGGTGGCCGCCCAGCACGGGTTTTCTCAGCTAATCTGAGCAGCACACTATTGCCAGCAACCTCGGTGGGTGCCTGTCTCTCCAGAAGCGCCCTGTGCTGGGCAATGGGGGCTGTGTGCCTCAACGGGTCCGTGCGGGTGTGAGGGCAGGGGGGCTGTGTGCACTCAACAGGAGGCGCTCAGCCCAGGCCTGGCAGGCGGCAGGGCCCGGCTTCCAGAGCTTCTCCGAGGACAGGACGGTGGAAACTCTGGCTCTGCCCAGGAGCAGCGCTCAGCAGCCCATGCTGGGGAAAGGCCTGGCCCCACAGCCCCTGTCTTGTGCAGAGGACCCTTCTGGCCACAACAGGGCCACAGGGCAGGCAGGCGCTTGGTGACCTTGGGGCCCAGCCTGTGCTGGGGGGTGAGCAGGGTGGGGACAAGGACCAGCTCTGCGGTGCTTGGGGACATCCTCCTGAGCTGAGCTGGCTGGGAGAGCAGGCATGGGCGGGGGAGAGGCAGCCCCTGGGGGCACTCACGGAGGTGTTCTGGCACTGCACACTGGAGCTGTTGAAGCGCAGGGCAGGCACCCTCTGCTCGCTGCCCTGGATGTTGAGAATGCATTCGTACCCACGCTGCCCGGACTGTGGCTGGGGCAGGTTCTTGGCCTTCAGAGTGATGGGCTTGATCACCTCCACAGGCACCAGGATCTTGTCCACTTGCAGCAGCTGGGGGCAGTCCTGGGGACAGAGAGCACGGCTCAGGCTGGGGAGCAGGAAGCCAAAGGTGCAGGAGCCTCTCAGACATAACCCGGATGTTCGCTCCATTCCTCCCTCCCACGAACACACCCACAGATGGTCCTGGGCACAGGGGCCCACCCCCAGCCACTGTGCAGGAGGGAGTGGGACTGAGAAATCTGGGGTCCCAGAGTCACCGTGTGAGGCCACTCCCACTGAGGCTGTCCCTGCTCTCTTTAGGTTCCATTTTAATGTGCCCCAGACTCTGACACTCCTGGTGCGCCCCTGGGGCACCCCTCCTAACCCAGCACAGACACGCCGCTGGCTGGGTGGCTGTCTCACTTGGAGCTGCGGACCCCTTGCCTCAGGTCCAGGCTGCCAGGAGAGCCGAGTCCCTGGTGTCTGGTGGCCAGGGTCCAGGCTGCCAGGAGAGCCGAGTCCCTGGTGTCTGGTGGCCAGGGTCCAGGCTGCCAGGAGAGCCGAGTCCCTGGTGGTCTGGTGGCCAGGGTCCAGGCTGCCAGGAGAGCCGAGTCCCTGGTGGTCTGGTGGCCAGGGTCCAGGCTGCCCAGTGCAGAGATGGAGAAGCCACGTGAGCAGATCAGCCGTGAGGCAAAGCCCTGTGCTGCGCCTCTGGAATGTGAGCCCAGGCAGAGCAGCATCTATGCATGGGCGGAGCCTGGCATTGGGACTGTTCCGGGAGAGGATCAAAGACCTTTTACATCCAGAAGCTTCCTACTTAACTCTGGATGGCCTGACCCCAGGGAAACACCCCTCAGAGCAGATACACAGGACCCGATGCCAGCAATGGGCATGTTCACCCTGGAGCCCAGCAGGGCCCGGAGGACCTTTGGGGGGTGGAGGAAATTAACCTCAGGGCCCCGTGCCCGGGGCAGTGGGCTCGGTCCAGGCAGGGCTGGGACAGAGTGGGGCAGTGAAGACTGCGGGCGTTCTGCTCCGCTGGAGGTGCAGGTGGCTTGTTGCTGGACTCCCCGAAGCGGGTGGAAGAGAGTTGGTCTCCCAGGCTGCTTGGCGTGGGCAGGAGCGAGGGTTTCTGTAAACACCAGCGGGGCCTGGACACCGTGTCAGGCAGGTCCCCTGTCGCCCAGATTCCTCTAGCTGTGGCTCCTGGGCAGGCTGACTGTTGGAAGCGTGGCACACACCCTCCCGGAGGACGCTGCCTCCTGGGCTCCCTGCTACCCTCCGCAGAGGCTGCTGGCCCCCACCCGGCCCCTCGTCAGCAGAGCAAGGAGAGAGGCTGGGAGGGAAGGGCCGAGGGCAGGGCCCCGCAATCAGGCCACCTGGCAGCTGTCTCTCCTGGCCTGACAGGAAATGGGAGCCCTCCTTCCCTGCAAGGTGGGAGGGAGAAGACCCCCCAGCGGCAGGGCCGCTGAGCTGCTGACGAGCTACGGAAACCTGAGCAGACACAGCCACACTCTGAGACTCAGTTTCCTTATCTGTTGATTGGATGAACCCAACGGCCCATCTGCACTCACTAGACCTGATGCCATGACTGGGGGTGGTCTCCGCCCTGTCCTTCCTGGTCAGCCTGCAGGGCAGTGGACGCCCAGGGCCATGAACGAATCCCCCTCCCCACCTGCAGGCTGCCACACCTTGACCCTGAAGAGCAGCCGCGGACCCACGTCACTTCTGGGTGTGTACCCCAAAGAGCTGAGAACAGGGAGGCAACAGGTGTGCTCACGCTCAGAGCGGCATTCTTCACGACAGCCAAAGGGGGAAGCACCCCACTGTCCATCAGTGGAAGGCTGGGCAAACACAATGTGAAACATCATACGAGGGAATACTATCTTACTTCGAAAAGGACACACATTTTCACACATTACATTATGGACGAATCTTGAAAACATTATGCTAAGTGAAACGAGCCAGTCACAGAAGGACAAATGTTACACAATTCCACCCATACAAGGTCCCTAGATTGTTAAATTAACAGAGACAGAGAGTAGAATGGTGGTTCGGGGAGAGGGGAGATGGAGAGTCAGTGTTAGGGGTACAGAGTTCAGACGGGGAGATGGAGAGTCAGTGTTACGGGTACAGAGTTCGGACGGGGAGATGGAGAGTCAGTGTTAGGGGTACAGAGTTCAGACGGGGAGATGGAGAGTCAGTGTTAGGGGTACAGAGTTCAGATGGGGAGATGGAGAGTCAGTGTTAGGGTACAGAGTTCAGAGGGGGAGATGGAGAGTCAGTGTTAGGGGTACAGAGTTCAGACGGGGAGATGGAGAGTCAGTGTTAGGGTACAGAGTTCAGACGGGGAGATGGAGAGTCAGTGTTAGGGGTACAGAGTTCAGACGGGGAGATGGAGAGACAGTATTAGGGGTACAGAGTTCAGACGGGGAGATGGAGAGTCAGTGTTAGGGGTACAGAGTTCAGACGGGGAGATGGAGAGACAGTGTTAGGGGTACAGAGTTCAGACGGGGAGATGGAGAGTCAGTGTTAGGGGTACAGAGTTCAGACGGGGAGATGGAGAGACAGTGTTAGGGTACAGAGTTCAGACGGGGAGATGGAGAGTCAGTGTTAGGGTACAGAGTTCAGACGGGGAGATGGACAGTCCTGTGGATGGACGGATGGTGGCCGCGCAGCAATGTAAATGTGCTAACGGCACTGAACTGCACACTTGGAATTGTCTACGACGGTAAATGTGATGTGTCTGTTTCACCAGGATGACGAGGAGCAGCAGGAGGCAGGAGCAGGAGGGGAGGTGGGGTGGACATTGGCCTGAACCCAGCATGTGGCCCCGAGGCTCTGGAGAGAGTGGGTCTCTGGAGACTTTGAGGCCCACAGGGGAGAGGGTCTTAGTAGCTCCATCTTGTGCCCCTGTGTCAACTACCCCCCGCCCCCGCTTAGCAGGCCGAGTGCCCAGGCCGCAGAAGACACAGCCTTGTGGAAGGAGTCAGGGCCAGTCTACAGCATCGGGGTCTCCGGGGAGACCTTCGGAAAGTGGAGAGTTGTGAGCTGAGGGTCCGGGCCATGCTGACTCCGCTCCTCACTGTCCAGCCCTGGCAGCCTCCTCCTCTGGGGCCTGCACAAGCCGACCCCCCCTGCTGCTTCCACACCTGCGCGGGTGGGGTGTCTACGCTGCACCTCCACGTCCCCGGCAGAACGCTGCTGCTTAGCAATGGCGCGCCCAGGGAGTCTGGAGTCTGACAGTCTTCAGACCAATCTACTGATCCCTGTACTTTGCAAAGGAGAAACTGAGGCAGGGAGAGGAAGAGTAACAGCAAACAGAAACAAGTGAGGGCAAACACGCTGGCAGCCGACCAGCTCAGACGCCAGGCCACCAGTCCTTCCTCCCCTCCAGGACAGAGGGCCGTCCCTGCAGGCGGCGGGACCACCTCGAGCTGGATCAGCAAGAACCTCCTTCGACCAGGACCCGCCGGAGGAGGGAGCTGGGGTAGCCTGGAGCGTTGCCTGGGGCTGGACGGAGTCTGGTCCGGGAGGCAGGCTGAAGCAGAAGCCTCTCTCTCCCCTGGAAGATTCTCACTGAGGCTTGTTATGAGTTCTCTAATGAGTCCTGATTGTCAGTGGCCCCATAAAGCCTTAGTTTGCATATAAAAAGGTTGGCAGCTCTGAGAGTAAGTTCATTAATAATAATTGGAGAGGCCCAGGGCGGGGCGGGGCCCATCTTCCCCTGGTGGCTGCTGATTGACCCTGGTATCCCCTCTAATTGAAATGTAAAACGGCCATTCCTCCTAGGCAACAAGGCCTGAAGGGTCCCTGTCCCCACCTGCCCGCCTCCCAGGGCAGCTCCCCGTCCTGACCCGCCGCACGCTGAGATGCCAGGTACCAACCACCCTGAGTCTAATGCTCTCGGGAAATTCCGGAGAAACCTCGCTTCTCCGTGCCTCCTGTCTGCGCGCTGCTTCGAGCACCCCCACCACAGGCCAGAGGTCAGCCAGGTTGTCCTCACCTCCCCACCTCCTTTGCCAGAAAGAACTGAGTCGGGGAGTCCTGTAGCCCGGAGTGCAAGTCTGTCTTCCCGCTGTCTTCAGAGTTCATCCTGGCTCGACTGAACCAGGCATGGGATTAACCACCCCTCTCTCAAAGGGCATGTGGGGGTGCCCGAGCCACCATATGTAAAGTGCCTGGCACACAGTGAACAAGAAGTCACAAACGTCTGTTCCTCCCTCCTCTTCCCTTCAGCTCAGGCTGACCTCGGCCCTCGCCGACTCTCTTCCCACCGCATCTCCGAAGGGACCCTCTCCCCTGCTCCAGCCGGGTGTGGTTCCGTACACCCCATTGGCTCCCGCTGTCCAGCTTCCTTCACCCTTCTCAGATCTGAAGTGGAGCCTGACCATTTCAACAGCTCCACGGGCCCCAAGCCCAAGGGGGACCGGCAGGGAGGTCCCGGTTCCGTCCACTGCTCTCCCGACAGCAGTCCCCTCTTCTGGGAGGTGACGTCCTGAAGCTACGTTTCACATGCTCTGAGACACACCTTCCCCAGCCAACCCTGTGGCCTTGGGCAGGTCCCTCGAATCCTCTGGGGCTGGTCAGGATCAGATGGTTTGTATGGTCCCAGTCCTATGATTAACCAAGTAGATGATCTGGGACAATCAGTGTATAACCTTTCTGAAGGTCAGTTTTCCCATCTCTAAAATGGGGATGACAATGCCAGAGGGGTGAGGGGGCTTGTGGAGAAGGTGGGCCTCTGGAAGTGGCTATTTACCTGCCAGGAGGGAGTATTTCACTGTTACAGACCGTATGTTGCACCCGGTACCATCGGACAGGCAGGCATGGCTCTGGTAGACAGAGCATGAGCTGTTATGATCGCAGTGAACACAGTTAACATGGTCCAAGGGGCGCAAGGGTTCAACCCAGGGCGCATCCTGCCACCTCTAACCCCTGACCCCCATTTTTCATTTCATAGCACAACACATATGATCCCCACCCCAGGTGCATGGTAAAGATACTCAGGACATCAGCGACCTCACTCCGTTCCCACAGGGACAATGAACAGAAGCACACCTCATCATCTAACTGACTTTCGT